GTATTAAATTTGTGATGTACATTGGAAACTCCAGTTTGCACGAGGGCCTCTCTTTTGTACTCTTGTGGCTTTTCTGCTGAATTTGGTACATGTCTTTTTCTCTTTCATGTTTTTTCTTTTGTTTATGATGGTTGACACCACAATCCCACGTACAAAGATATGTAGCTTTTTGGACTATTGAACTAAAGTTTTACCTTCGTGCATGTGGGATTGCCAAGTTTTTCACCCCCACTTTTCAATCATATGATGTGCAACACTCTCCATCGAGGCTGGACCATTTTTCATGTTTCTTCATCTTATCATTCAGTTTTTCCACACTCATGATGTCATATTTTATTGTTTGAAAACGAAACGCATTCGGTTCAGTTGTTGAATCATTAATGACTTGCCATTAATGGTAATTATAAGAGTCTCTTCATCATCCATCTGGTTAGGCATATTATATCTAAGTTTTTTCTAACTTCTCACGTACTTAAGTGTCTCAAAGACTGGTTGTGACTTGTGAGTAAACAAAATGTCCTTCTTGTATCTCATTTCGTGCTCAACAACTTTGGTTGGAAGTTAAGCCTGACTTTGAAGTTTGATGGCCTAACATAATGCCAGGGTCATGTCTCATAAGAATTTTCTTTGGTCTCAAGTGCCGGGGGAGCCGGTTAAGACATCTGCCCCCCTCCGGGCCCTCTTAATTTTTCTTTCTTTTCACTTTTACTTTCCAAATTTCTTTGATTTCTTATTTAAAAAATAATAATTCTTCTTCAATTAAACTCTAATTATTTTTCCCTTCACAGTTCTCTTACCTCTTTTTTTTTTTTTTTTTTTTTTTTTTTTTCACTTCTTAAAAGTCTTCTTGTTCTTTTTATTCCTCTTCTTCTTATTTAAATAAGTGTATGTAATTTCATATATAGCTTTTAAATAAGAATACAAGTAGATGATATTTGTAATTGTATTCGATGAAAATATTATCCTTTAATATTTTGATTTTTATATTTGTCAAATATATATTTTTCTTACATTATTCTTTTTAGCATATTATTTTACAATGACTTTTTTTTCTTTACTTGTATGCCTTCTGATTTGAATAATCTACATTTGTCATGTTAGTCTCGTTTGATGATATGATAAAGTGTCAAGTTTGTTGTTTATGTTTGTTTGACTTTTCAACATGTTATGTGACGTACACCTACCATTATTAAGGATATCAATAGATAAACGGTTGCCACTTATCTCTTGGCTAGATTGAATGAAGATATCAATAGATAAACGGTTGCCACTTATCTCTTGGCTAGATTGATCTTCATTCCCTTCGTATCTGTTTTTTTTCTTTCTCAACATGAAAAAATAAATCCACTAATCAAATTATGAAAAAAAGAAAAGAAAAAAAACAAATTTATGAAATATCAAAAGACCCATATTGCTTCTAATAATTGTTTGCCTTCTATCATCTAATCTCTTTAATTTTTGGACTTCGAAGGTTTTTTTTTTTTATGCTCTTTCTTTTAACTTTTCCAATAATAGAAGAATCCTTAATTTATGTAAATTTGATGCTAACTTTCCAATAGAGCTACGTTCTGTTACGATAGTGGCAAAAAGTCATTTATAAATGAGACGTATGTGTTTTTTTTTTTTTTTTTTTTTTCTTTTTCTTTAAGCTTTTGCTTTACAAAGAACTTATCCTATTGGAAGAGAGAGAGAGAGACGTGGGTGGGCCATTGCTCCATATGATGATTGACTGCACGTGTGGTCCGGTGAATCCACGAGCGCCCGTTTTATTCATTGGACTGATTGATTTTTGTCCGTGTTTTATCACTCACTTGTTCTCTTCGCTGATATTTCTTTACACACGCACTAATTTGTTCTGTTCCGTCCTTTCCATTAATTAATGTTATTAAAATCTTCGATGTGTTTCTCTTTAAATAATTGAATATATATTTTCTACTGTATATAAATATAGTAAGGCATATCTCGGCAAACCGTCACTGTCAATATGCGGGCCTAGTGATACCTTTCTCAGCAGTATTATTACTGACATAGTCAATTTTCTGCAGGTAAAATTTGAAGCTTTTCAGCCCTTCTTGAATATCTTGCAATTGTATTCATTGTTCCGTTTTCCTTAATTGTTTGATAATTTAAAGATAGATTATGTTTTTCTGTTGTATTCAAAAGTAAGTTTTACTATTTTACTAGCAGCCAAGAGCTCTCAAGAATTTTACGACCAATAGGTTTAGTTTTCTAGAAATATTTTTTGAGAGCTTAAAAAATAAAAATTATTTTTAAAAAAATATAATAAAAAAACAGTTATATGAAAACATACAAGTCTTAAATGATTTTTTAAAAAATAATTTTTAAAAACTGTTAACCAAACAAATTTGTGTTAAATTTTTTAATTTTTAGTTCTCAAAACACAAACCAAACAGATTTTCATTAGGATTCAAAAGATAGACTATAGTGAAAGTGTTAATTTTCAAAGTGTATAGTCAAAGCCAATAGCAAATCGAATCACTAATAACCCTCATATACCCACTAGCCGGAATGAATCACTTATAACCTTCCGATGCATTAACGTATATTTATAGTATAATTCACTTTAACACATCTAATGATAGCAATTAATTATGTCATATTATTCAAAAAATAGACCTAAGTATCATAATTTGCTATAGAATTACCATCCCTATTGGTTTAGTGACATGACCTCTCCTTCCCACAAAAACATGTTCTCCTTCGGGGACTGCTCGGTATTTTGTTTCATATTAGCAGGACTAACAATTAGACTCGTTAATGGAGCGGATTCTGATCTGAATTCTATCCTATTAGTCGGATATGGATTGAACAAAAAATCCGATAATCCGGTTACGATCCGAATCCGATGATCCGTTAGCTTAACAAATCGGATATGAATTATGCTGATCCGATCCGATTAAAATTATATATATAAATAATTATTTATCAATAATTTTACATAAATATATATATATATATATATATGTATATATATATATATATATCAATACTCCTATTAAAATTGTATTAGAGGTAACCCAAAAATTCAAAATAATAATAATAATGTTATATATAAATATTGTGGTGTTCTCATCCATATGCTAATAAATTTCGTAGTACACATACTAATAAAATCATACTCTTTATAATTATATATATTAGTAAATATTATTTTAATCTGATTTTGAATTCGATCCGATCCAAGTCCGAACTAAATAGAATATAGATTGGGACATTCAATCTGAGGACCCGTTAATAATCCGAATCCGATAATCCGTTTACTTAACAAATCGGATATGAATTTGATCGATCTGATTCGAATCCGATCCATTGACAGGGCTACTAACAATAGGTTCTATCATTCAATACCCGTATCAAAATTAATGTCAATACCAGATTGAAAATCATTATTGATGTTGCAAATTCTGGTTAAACTAAAAAAAAAATGTAAAATAAAGAATGACATATTTTAAGTTAGAGATTATGAAGAGAAGAAGGTAGAGGGTGCCCCAAAGTGTGGTTCCAACCATCAAATTGAAAAAGAATCTTAGCTTTTAGTTGGCTCCACTGCCCCAACAACTACAAGAAGCTCAAGCACCCCACCCCCCATGTGTTGAAGGTCCCCATTGATGTCTAATTGCTCGTCTTTGCTGTTGGTGTCATCGATCCCTCCCTTCTTTCTTTTGCATTTTCTCATTCTCTTCTTAATTTCTCTTCCCCTTTATATACGCTAAATTAAGCCTATGTCTATGTCAAAAAGGGGTACCAACGCCCACGTGATCCGGTGCCTGCTTGGCCACAATGGTACTCAATTCATCCTCATATCAATACCCCAACATGAAACACAATCCCCCATTTCATTTTGCCATGTTACTCCCACGTGGCCGCCAACATTAATGGACAAAAAAATCACTCTCATACTCGCTCTAACCTTGTATTCCAATTGCCTAATGATTAATGGATGATTTTTTTTAATTTTTTTTAAAAATGTTAGATACAAGCTGAGTGCAGGGCATTTCTGATTTGAAGTCACATACCATACCTCTTTCCTGCTATAATTTACAAAATGGAATGAATGGTCATTCATGGGTAAGGGAACTCGAATAAAAATGAATGAAATAATGAACTTATCCATACTTGGATATATGGATATGTGGACTGAAGGAACACACTGTTCAATTATTGTTCAGGACAAAGCCCAGACTCATGCCCTACTAACCAGGGCTGTTCTGTCGGATGATCATCGTCATCCATTCATCACTACACTCACTACCATTACATGATGACAATGAAGTAGCAATAAGGCTTAAAATTAAGGGTCTCTCTCTCCCTTTTTCTTTCCATATATATTCAGTTTTGTTTAATGCTGCCACTTTTAAGCATTCCTCAATTTGTAGCTCATTGTTAACACAAAGCAACATGAAAAAAACATTACAATAATACACCAACAAAAAGCAGCATGTTAGCATTATCATTTCATTAATGTTTTTTGCCCTACAACCCGGAATCACTATGCTCAAATGCCTGTATAAAAGTGTGGAGAAATTAAGCATTAAGCACATCTGGCAATTAAAAAAGACAAAAGAACATTCTCCCTTGACTTTACACACATTCTAATTAATGAACACTTAAAACATCTAATTAAAGTTGCTTCAGATGATTTCCAATTATAACAAGAAAAAAAAAGTTTCCAATTGTAACAAGAAAATAGCACAAAGTAGTGATGACTGATGATAATTAAGAGAAATAAATTATTTTGGAGTGGACATGAGACATAAACAAAGAAAGATGTCGGACATATATTAGATGGCTTATACATATATATAATAAATCCATTTAGACCCCAGACAGCCCACATCTTTCCTAGCCCATTAACAGTGACATTGAGCAAAATGTACTCAAGTCCTCGATTAGTATCTAGAGGAATTTGAATATATATATATATATCTCCAAAATCAATTTGAATTTTTGTTTCAATCCAATTCCAAATTAAAAATTAACCTACATGGAGTATTTGGTTTTTTGTTTTTGTTTTTGTAATTTTTTAACTTGAATCCTACTTGTATTGATACAGATATATAACCATTTTGATAACAGAGGGGACAACCATTTTTTTTTTTCCAGCCATTTTGTACCTCAATTCCGTACCTTATATATCTAAACCTATTAGTTCCGTACTTGATTCTCAAGGCCAGGCCTTTACTATAAGGCCTTGAAAACGATTTATTGATGTCCAACAACCAAGTTGTTATTCTTACACTAAAAAAAGGCTAGGTAAGGACTCGCTTTCCTATCCTATGATCCCTTTGTACTATAAACATGTGATTACTAGTAGTCCGTGGTCTATTATGTGCTTCGAGTCCATAAATTAAAGATTTAACCAATTGGTTCATATGATTATGATTTTCCCAGTAAGATTTCAATAATTGAGTGATTTGGGTAGTGATATATTAATCACTTGCAAAGCCCAAATCAAGAGGAATAACATAGTAATGACCTTTTTCAAGTCTTATTTGGTGGATACATTTCATGCAATGCAAGATATTAGATTCAATTGAATTCCAGTTAAATACAATATCACATTATCTCTTTGTGCATTTAGATCGGGATTTCTATCCAAACAATGTTTTAACTTGTAATTTCATGAAGCTGTGTTGGTAACAAATGAAGGTGCATATATTTTCTCTTGGCGCCATCAAGCTAAAGGAGTGCAGGCTCTTGATGTTGATCCTGGCTGCAACACACAAATATATGTTAGAAGATGTGCATGAACCAAAAACTGCCCCATCTGATATGCTTGACAATTATTTTTACCCTATTACACAACGGACTTGATGTGACAATTAACGATTGTTATTCATATCTAAAAAAGTGCTTCTATTCTTTTGAAAAGCTGACAAGAGTCCTTATTGGATTCTATTTATTGTAGCAATACTCTTCATTTATCCTCATCATCCACTTTAAAGGTACGCGGGATTGGGTTGCTGGCATAGTCAAAAGATGGGTGACCTCAACCCAACTTGCAGCCTTAATTACAAGAAACAAGGAAAACAAAGCTCGTGAAGTAGCCAAGGGGGCCAAACAGACCAATGAATGTCGTCTTGTCTGGCGCTAACAGCCCGTTGACTCAATTGGTGGGCAATTTGTTTTTGTAAGATTTTTTACACTTTTTTTTTTTGCTAGGAAAAGTATTCACACACACATTTCACAAATTGAATATATTAACAGATTAGAACCTCTTACATCTCTTTTAAGAGAGGAGAGATTGTACAATTGGATTAATCACCTTGTCAGCTGACAAGAGTACAAGTCATTATCCTCTAGAAACAACAAAAAGAAGATCCTATCCATCACAGCAGACTCAAGCCAAATTATTGACAATAAAGAAGGAATTATAAATGAAATAGTGGGGCAATTCCAAAGACTCCTAGGTACATCTCCTCCATTAACCCACTCTATTTCTGAATTGTAGGTTTTCATCACTCTTCAAGTTCCATCACATCTACAGTCCTCCTTAGATGAGATACAAAACTGCATTTTCATGCTCAGTAGGGACAAAGCACCAGGTCCAGATGGCTACAATGCTGCCTTCTTCCAAAAATGCTGGGGAATTGTTGGTAGCATAGTCACCAAAGCCATCATTGAATTCTTCACAAATAGGAAGCTACTCTCAGAAGCAAACAACACATACATCTCACTTGTCCCTAAATGTCAAAATCCATCTTCCATCCATGATTATAGACCAATATCTTGCTGTAATACTGTCTATAAATGCATTGCAAAGTTGCTTGCAACCAAACTGCAATCCACCCTTCCCCACATCATTGACAACTCTCAATCAACCTTCATTCAAGGGAGGAAGATCATAAACCCTATCCTCTTGGCTCATGAATTACTTAGGGGCTATCACAAGGATAATGGACTTGCAAAGTGTGCCATCAAGGTTGATCGAAGGAAAACATTTGACATTTGACTCATTCATTTTATCTCTCTCATTCATTCTTGCATCTCCTCCCCCTCATTTACTATTACAATTAATGGTGAGTTCAAGGGCTACTTCAAGGGTAAGAGAAAGTTAGGACAGGGAGACCCCATCTCCCCATTCCTCTTTATCATTGTAATGAATGCACTGTCCTCCATCATCAACAATTTTGTGAGCAGGGTGAGAGATTTTAGGTACCACTGGAGATGTAAGGACTTAAAGATCACCCACTTATCATATGCAGGTGACCTCCTCCTCTTTTGCCATGGGGATATTACCTCAATTTCAGTGATTAAATCAGCTATGGACTACTTCAATACAATGTCTGGTTTAGACATCAACACTTCCAAAAGCACAATTTTCAGCACTCAATTATATCTTTATTGGGAATTGAAGTAGGCTCTCTACCATTCAAGTACCTTGGGGTACCATTGATCTCCACTAATCTCAAGTCTTCTCATTGCAGCCTATTAATTGAAAAGATTGCCAAAAGAATATCACATTGATCCTCTAATTCACTCTCTTATACAGACAGGCTTCAATTAATCAAGGCTGTTCTAGTCTCTACACAGATTTACTGGTCTAGCATATTTATCCTCCCTAAAGCAGTGATCAATGAGCTAAATAAGATTTTTAGATCTTTTCTCTGGTTTGGAACTGAAATGAGATCTACAAGGGCTAAAGTATGTTGGGAGAAAGTTTGCAAGCTAAAAGAAGCTGGAGGGCTAGGGATTCCTAATTTGGAATTGTCAAATAAGGCAGGGATCATGAGATTCATTTGGGAACTACAAATTGATAACAATGACAGGCTATGGATTAAATGGTGTAAAAACCATTTAATCAAGTCAAAGAACCTGTGGGAGCTCAATATTCCACAATCTTGCTCTTGGAGTTGGAGGAAAATTCTACAGCTTAGACATCCAGCAAGACTTCTCTTAAGGCACTCCATTGGTAATGGCACAGACACATCATTTTGACTGGATAATTGGGCTCCAGGAGGGCCAATATGCACTAAATTCCCATCATCAATTCTCACACAGGCTAGCATCAATCAAGCTACTACAGTTGATAATTTTATTGTTGATTCCTCTTGGTCTTTCCCACCACTTATCACATGCTCTATTCCTGAGTTACTGCAATTGCAGCCTCCAGTAACATCAAGAAGGGACAAGAAGAGATGGACTGCATCTCCTACATGAATTTTTAGTCTGGGCCACACAGCTACTTTCCTTGCAAGTCACTTCGCTAAGGTAAATTGGCACAACTTAGTGTGGTGCTCACCAATTATCCCTAGAATGAAGCTAAATCTTTGGTTAGCAGTGCAATCTAGACTGCCAACACTGGATAGCAAATAAATGGAAAATCATCTCAATGTCTGCCCTTTATGCCAAACACACCCTGAATCACACGATCACATCTTCTTCAAATGTTGTTTTACCTCTCCATTGTGGCTATTTATCAAGTACAAATGCCAATTTTACACAGCAATCACAAATTGGGAGCAACTCATTCAATGTATCAGTGAAAGATGGAAAGCAAAATCAGTTCCTAACTTGTTTAGGAAGGTATGTTTCTCTGCATTGGTTTACCATACTTGGGAGGAAAGGAATGAAATGATCTTCAACAACAAGAGATCTTCTCAAAGGACAGTGCTAGCTCGAGTATGCTCTACCATCACTGCAATCCTTAAGCTTGGTTTCCTTCAAGATTGTTCCACTTCTAGAAGAATACTCTCTGAATGGAACATCTCCCCTTCTTGTTGTCGACCTCTACCTCGTCCACCAAATTAAAGTTTTGCCGGCAAAGACGCCGGCTTACATGCCCTAAAGTGCACCGGATTGTAAGGCAAACAACCTCCATTAATGGAATTACAGTCCGTTAATTCAAGTTATTAGCTTTTGTTATGTATTGGGTCAATTAAATGGGCCTGGTCATTTGGTTTTGCCCAAAATTGGGTTGTTCCCCTAAAAGGGTTGTTTGGCTAATTGGCCCATACTGTAATTATCATTTTCATTTCAATGAATTTGCTCTAAATAAAAATAAATAAATAAATAAATAAAAGTACTTAAGGCCACTCTTCATAGGTGAGAACCATTAATAAACCATGCAAAATTTTCTAAATTAGGGAGAGATATATAACTTAATCTACAGCAAAACGTACCACACATGCATGTATGTCATCGCATCCACATAACAGCTCCCCGTTTAGAGTATCCAAAGCTTGAAATGCTCCTCCTCCCTCACTTCTCTGCATCAATAATTACACAAAACAAAAGAAACACGTGCATGATTCAAGCCACTATAAAATATGGGTCAATTAATCAAACCCAAATTGTTCAACAAGTCTAAACCCAAATAAAAATGGATCATTGAATAAATTTAGGAAAAATTTTGAATCCAAAAAGACCGAAATAAAAATAATAATAATAATTATGATAATACCTTGTAATAATCAACAGTGACAAAATTAGCCCATCTATTGCCAGCCGCACCGTGACAAGTTTGAAGCATGTTAATGAGGTCCACAGAGTTCTGTTGACAAGCAGCTAGCTTGATTGGGATTGACCGAAAATAATTCACCAATACCAAAGATTTACTCTTGTCATCAAGCCCGGATGACTCTGCTCTGTTTGGGCAACTTCCAGCTTTCATTCCTCCATCACCATCTACAATATACATATATATATATATATGAAATGTACATTAATTCATATAGTAAAAATGAACATATACACACACACAATTAATGGTATAACATGGGATGTTTTGTGTGTGTGTGTGTGTGTGTATATATAGCTTCTTACACTGATTCTCAACCATGTAGTTCCACTGATAAGCAATTCCTTCACTCTGTTCCTTAGACTTGATTGAAGTGAAAACAATTAGCCTTTGATTTTTAGCAACCATGTCACTAACGAATGGCCAGTCTTGACCATTTTGTGGCATGTTCGTCACCGGAAACCAGTACTTCATCAACCCAGCATCAGTGAACACTTTGGTCAATCCATTTGGAGCCTGAACATAGTCTTCTAGGATTATTGTCACAATTTCAGTTGGGTTCGCAGACAAGAACGCCTCAATTTCCTTCAAAGTGTCTATAGCCGGTTCCTACTATACACATACATGTAATTAAATATTAGCCGGTTCCTCTTTACTGATGAGCAGATAAGTATTGCAAAAATAAAATTTGAAATTTGAGTTTATGTAATCGAAAAAGTGCTTACAAATGCAGTATAATCGTGACATTGTCCCCCAAAAGAATGACACAACCATACAGCCCCTTGAAAATCGTATGTATCCAGCATTAAGGCTCGAACACCATTCTGCATTTGATATAGATTGAGAAAAGAAAAAGAAAGAAAGAAAAAAAAAAAAAAAGTGAATAATTGAAAATGAAATAGAGAAATGGAGAAATGGAGAAATGGAGATGGTTTGGAGAATGATGGTACATTTAGCTGCTGAGTGATATTATCTTCTTGATTGGTTATTGTGAGTCTAGGAACTCCAGTGTGAGATGGCTCTCCATCGATGGCGTAGGCATTGTGGGTTGTCAAAAATGCGTACTTGTTGAATGGGAGAGAATTGTTCTGTTTCCCAAAAATATATATATATATAATAACAGCAATTAAATTTGTGTTATATGTAATGATTGACAAATCAGAATTCTATTATGACTCGAGAGAAAAAAGAAAATTGCTATCATTGCTTTGGGATATCACATTCCTCTTTGTAGAGCAAAAGTAGGAGAATATGCCATCAAGTGACAAGCCCAAATTTAGATAAACAATTTTCTTTGAATGGTTCCAAAAACCTCTTATTTTTATCCTTGTAATATATACTAATATGGGCATTTCTTATTGGTTAACATTTTTAAAAAAGGTTGAAATTAAGAAAAAAAATGTAAATGATAGACAAAAAGATTATTATTGTAGGCTCTTTTATCGTCAAAAGGGACACTATAGACTAAAATCCTACTAAAATTCATTTGCTATCATAAACTGAAATCTTTCTAGACAAATCTCAATTTAACCATTCAAATTCAAGTATACAGATTAATAAGTGATTAAATTAAACATAATAGAAGACTCAGAATCAAGGAACATACCCAACAAAAATGGTGCTAGATAGATATAATAAAAAATTTAAGTAACAGTTTTCCCCAAAAATAAATAAATAAATAAAATCTTTAGAACCATGATATAACTGCCTAAACGTCACTATTTGTTATTGGGTATATCCGATAAGTAACCAATGAGCGACCTTACAAAAAAAGTGCCGATTGTTATACTTAATATAAGGTGATGACGTTTAGAGAGAGTGAGAGAGAGAATTACCAGAAGCTTGAATTGGTCAGTAGTGGTTGATCTGACACATCTAGAGCCTGAAAATCCTTGAGGACAAGAGAAACAATAGAGTCCAGCTTCACAATCTGCGTCTGATGTGCATTCATCAAGGAGCTACATTTAAAAACCAATTAACATCATAAATTTCATTTTTATATGTCACTTTACGCAATAATGTTGTAGATATATATCTAATAAAAGGCCAAAAAATAAGGGAAAGAAAAAAAACGCATACCCTGCACTCTCCATTAGAGCAAGCTTTGGCAACACTAAACAACACTGTAATTATGATGAAGATAGAAAATTTTCCAATAGTACCCATATACGTAGAGAATATGGGATATAGAAATCAGTAAGAGGTTGAAGAAATTGTAAGAGATGTGTAAATAGGATGATAGAAAGAAATAAATGATATTCTTCTTTGGAGAAATAACCTAAGCAGTAAGAATGAATATGGTGGTTTTTCTAAGTTTTGGCTGAGAAAACTAAGAATTAAAAAAAGGAAAGTTTAATCAGAAAGAAGCCAAGAATCAACATGGGTTCCGTAAGTTTTGGCTGAGAAAGCAAAGAGTTAATAGAAAATTTGGATGAGAAACAGACAGAACGGGAAAATACTAGGAAGCAACAAAATGGGAAGGGAATTGAAGGAAACGGCAAACCATTTATGACAACTTTGACAAGTACTTTTTTTCAAAAAAACCAAAACAAAAAAAGTTTAGGGAAGAGAAATGGATGTGAACGTGTATCAACACTAGTTGACGTTTTGAATTACCAACCACTCAATTAATTGCACCATTTGTTTTTTTTATTTTGTGGTTTTATTTTTTTGCCCAAATGAAAACGGTAAAATTTAATTGATCATCTAATAATTTCACTGAAGATTTCACCGAGGATAAGACGCTCTCTTGGCAGTTGATGATATTTTTGGTTAAAGTGTGATAAGAATTTGGGGTGTGTAGGGGTGAGAGTGACCTTTTTTTGTTTCTTTTACTCTAAATTATTGATTTGTGAAGTTGTTGTGTCTGTGACTCATGAGTGTTGACTATTGAGTTGTTTGTTCATCTACTTCTATAGCCCATTTAATTTGTATGGGCTTTAAATGGGCTGGACTGGTATGGGACATTGATCTATGCACTCAAAAATATCCCTCAAGGAAAATTTTGATGTATGTCAAGAGTTAATTGTGAAAAGGATTTAAAGAAAATCACTAAAATTTAGCTTACCAGATTTTGATAATTTTGACTTGATTATGTTTTCTTTGTTTGTCATCTTTTAAACGTCCTACTCATCTCTTGATTGATTTTTTATTTATTTATTTTATGAATGGAGCATATTAATCGGATATTCAAATATTCCATTTAGACCGTCATTACACATACAGTAACGCTGCTATTAAGGCCAAAAAACAATAAATTTTCATGTATCAATTAGCAGGCGAATATTGATTACATGGGTTTTCATTTCACTTTTTCAAATATGTCCGTTTAGTTTTGAGATAGGGAAGATATTGATGGGTTATTATTATTTGTGCAGTGTTAGAAATTTGGACAAGAAAATTACATGATATGGAGGTTTTATTCTTAAAACATTCATTTTGTACAAAAATATTTTTTAAAGGCTGCACTAATACTCATATTCTGACACTATACAAAGACGACTAATCAACATGAATAGTCACCCCTGCCCAATCCAAATTGATGGTGTACTATTCTAGTTAATGGGTCAGGTAAAACGGGCCACCCGGACCTAATTAGCTAAATGCTGGAAATTGACCACAAAAAAAAAAAAAAAATGAACAATTGAAAAGCAATTGCCAAAAGACTGTCGAGTAGAAATAATAGAAATCTGTGCAAAAGCTCCAGAATAATTGATGGAGCAGACTCTACAATTTCATATCTGGGCTTCTTGTGATTTATGCCGAAAGGCAACCACAACAAAAGCCTCCACACATTGGGCCTGAGTCCGTCAACCCAATTTAATAGACAAAACAAACTTCAACTCCAAATCACTGTTTTAACTTTCACAACCCCACAAACCACTGTAGTGTAGGTAGCTGGAACCAACTCAGAATCCCGCTCTTCTAAAACCCAGCCAATTCTGACCGCCCAAAAAAAATAAATCCATTTCCAATCTCAACAGTCTAACCAAACAGGCCCTGAAATGTAACATAAGAAAGTGAGTTGGACCCACTTGAAATTTAGCTTGTCCGTGGGCATCCGGTTCATGGGTTTTAGCCGGTTAGAGCATTTCCAATGGGGTTGTCATATGAGCTGTCAATTCAAAATATAACAGGTGGTTTAAAAGTGGACTCTTCAATAGGCTACAATATTGGCTGCCAAAATTTACCTTTGCCATTTTTTGTGCAAATCTAGCAAAACAAATAGCAATAGCCATTTCTATATTTTGTGCCAAATCTAATAGAAATATATGGGTTTTGAACTTTTGATTACAAAACAAGAATTACAGACCTTAATATATATATATATATGCATACACAAAATCAAGAATTATGGAACTCGATTTATTGATTTAGAAAAAAAATTAAATCAAAACACATACATACAAGTTAGCAGTTCTAGAGAGAGAGAGGGGGGCAAGCTTGAGAGTTGAGAGATAGCGACTGAAGCCCCGAACTGGAACAGCGAGAGATGGAAACTAAAAGATATGGGTTTTGATTTTTTGAACAATCTGAAATGATAAGCCAATATGGGATAAACTGAAATATATGGGTTTTGAACTTCTGATTCTTGTATATTTTGTAGTTTGCAGTTGGAGAGAGAGAGAGAGGGAGGGGGCAAGTTCTTATGCTATGTTTGGTTGGAGGGAAGGATTGAGGGGGGATGGATGAGAGGAGGGATTGATAAATATTTTCGTATTTGGTTAAAGGGAAGGGAAGAGAGGGAGGAAACAAGGAGGGATGTTTCATCCTTCCTTCCTTTATGTTTTTCTATCCGCCCACTTTTGGGGGGAAGGGAGGAGAGAAAGAAGGCATAACTACCCATGAATTGGTAATTTACCATTTTAACCTTTTCAAAAATTTTGAAATAAATATTTACCTTTTATAATTTTATATAAAAGGGTATATTGGTAAAAATAATATATGAACTCTTCTTTCCTTCCTTCCAACCAAACAAGAAAAAAGTATCACTCCATTCATCCTTTCTATTATCCATTCTATTCAACAAAACATAAAATGGGAAAGACACCCTCCCTTCCCTAGGGATATCTCATCCATCCTTCCTCCTATCTTTTCCATCCATTTTTCCATCCCTCCAACCAAACGAAGCATTAGAGTTGAGAACGAGAATAGAGATGGAGGCGATTGGGGAGGCTGAAATGATTTACCCTAAAAATATATATATTTTTAATAATAATATAATCAAATATATATAATATACATACATATATATATATATATATATATATATATAATATATAAATTCCTGAAAAAGAAATATATATATATATTATATAAAAAAATTAATTCACAAATAGTGGTAAAAAAATAATAAAAAATTTCTTTTTTTTTTTTTTTTTGGTCCTTTTTTGACCAGATATTTTAGATTTTTACTTCTTTTTAATTAGCTTTAATTTTAATTTCTTTCTAATGCCTACTGATGCAAATATAAATTATGGGAATAGTAGTTAAAAAAGAATAGTAGTTGTGTCAAAAAATAGTATTTTGTACGAAATGCATCATTACAGCAGAATTGGTAAAATGTAGCATTTTGACACTGTATTATCTGTCAAAATATAAATTTAACATATGAGAATGACTTTTAACATTGGAAATGGCCTTATATATATATATTTTTGAAAGTCAACAAAATAAGAGACATGGGTACTCATGGCTGAGTACCTAAATATTATTCTTTATTCTTTTTCTTTCTTATTTTATAATTAAAGAAAACGTGTAATTTGATTGATTCGCATGATGAGATTTAAATATTGTCCATTGATAACTTGAGAAGGCTTCTTGTGTTTCGTTGTCACTTGACATTTTGCAGCTAATAGTTAAAATGCATTAAATGGGGTGCTTCGCAAATAATTACCGTTGATTTCCAATTAATTTACCATTGTCAAGGCAATTTGCAAAGGTCGTCAGAGTCATAGATGATGTGTATAATCGGCAAATTTTCTTTTGAGATGATTATATTCTATCTAGAATATTCTCTATACTTCAAATTTTTCTTTGGCTTCCTTGCAACTCTAGCTTATCCTTAGTGGTTGAATTTGACTAACTTCTTCAACCCCTTTTTGTTGTTCACGCCTTATTTTAATTATGAATTTTTTTTTTCACAAAAACTGAACTTTCATGTTAAACCAAAGTCGATTTTGGAAAAAAGTATGGCACGTCATTCTGAATAAATATACCACCATAACCTGTATTTCAAGCTACCTTTGGGTGCTGAACAAAATGAATTTAATGAATAAGGGCTTATATATGACTAATTACATATATAAAGAACTCAAAATACAGCACACACAAACGAAATAAACCGATCGAAACTGGATGATCGGTTGTTTATTGTTCATTTCAAATTCATTGATCTATTCATGATGACTAGTGTCGGAGAAGAAGCGGTTGATGGCAGGCATGACCTCAGGCGGGCGGGTACGGAGAAACTTGCGGAGGCCATGTTGGGCATATTTCTCCCCTTCCTCTTCGTTCTCAAGTATAGCTGTGCCACGATTAGCTTTGTTGATTCTGCAACACACACACACACACACACACACACACACACACATATTTATATATATATACATACATATATTTAAAAAGAGCTTTACTATATATTTCATGTAAGAATAATATCGTTAGTAATATACTACTGTGTATATATACACCAAGTTGAATTTGCACATATATAGTACTATATAGTATATACCTGACATCAGGGTCTCTGAGTACGTGCCTTGTTAGTGAGAAAATACACATACCCGAAACAAAGGTCATCGCAGCCATTAGAGGATAAACCTGCATATATGTTACCAACAAAATTGTCATGGAATAGTTTGCAGAAACGGGTGTGAAATTGAAACTGTTTTAGAATTTAACTTAATTCTCCAAAACAAAAATTAAGACGAATAAAAAAGTTAGGATATATGTCATGAGGTGCACACCTCATTTCAATTGTCATTAGCTTTTACTTTAATTAACACATTTGAGTACAAGTTAAGGTAAAATAAATTAATATCAAAATACCTTGAGATAAAATAATACGGGTAATGGTCCTATCATAAAAATTAATATCACCTCACTCGTATTGAAATGGTCCTATCATAAAAATTAATATCAAAATACCTTAAGATAAAATAATACGGGTATTGGTTTTGTTTGATTTAAAAAGAAAAAAAGATATTACAAAAATTTGACTAAAGCATTTGATCTTCTGTAAATTATTTTTTATACGAATTTTTGACTATATAATTCATATAATGTCTTCTTTCGAATAGTTAGATTCTTTTTTCAAATTTTGTACATAATTAAGGTAAAATAAATACTCGTAATAGATGCAGGGTGCTACAAAGAGCTGCAACTATATTATTGTAGTTTTTTAATATATATATATATATATATATATATATATATATATATGACAGCCGGGATTTGATCGCTCAAATCTCACTTTAGGAGGACTTTGGGAGGTAGGGTACAGCCACTGATATTTAGGGGTGAGAAATTTTAATAAAAGATATTAAGAACATTAGAAATTAGTAAATTAATTTTGAAAAGAATAATAAAGATTGTTGGTTAAACTCTTCACCGAAAAAATAAAATAAAATTGTTGTATAGTGAAACTTCAAAAAAAAAAAAAAAAAAAGTTGATTTTTGCATACCTCTGGTCTGACCCAACGCCCCATTATATGAAGGTCTTTCTCAAGATTTAGCTGTGAAAGATTGATCTTCAATCTTATAAACTCTCTCTCTATCTGAGTGTGATGTTACATGTACATAACCACAGTGGTGAATCATACATACATACATATATATATATATATATATATATTGTTTACAATTAAAGCGTATTAGTTGGCAGGATTGATTTTGGGTAGTCACCCTTTGGATTGATTGGTCCACGTATGTATATGGTATCCGTGGGCTGGAATTAATTTTTGACTTGTTACAAAACCAGGGGCCTGGCCTCTTGTTTAATTGGAATTCCAGATAAAACAAAAACTCAAGGCCAATCATTTGGTCCACCACTGCTGTGATGTTCAACGGTCTTATCCTGAACAGTCGAATAACGAAAATGATAGAAAATGTCCTTATTTTAAATTAAACTTCCTTTTTTTTTTTTTTTTTTAATTATTAGTGGTAAATCAAAGGAAAAGGATTCAAACACAAGCACAATCATTCAGAATCATGTAAATATAGATTTTTTGTCAATTTGTGTTTTGAAAATTATAGACAATTTATTTTTTTCGGAAATTAATTCAACTCATAGATTTTTTTATTTTTCGGAATTTAATTCAACTCATACTTTTTTATTTCTTTTCATTAGAATTGGGCTGGATTTAAGCCCAACCCAACTTCTGGATTCGCCTGGGAGGGGTCACGTTATGCAGTTTAGTGGGTTGGGCTTTCAACAATTGGACAAAAAAATGAGAGTGCCCAATGGTTAGTGGATATCAACAAAACGAGGCTAATTTATGAAGAATTATAAGCCGCCTGGCTCGTGGTCTCAGTCGGCCGCAGAAGCGCTAGCCATTCCGTTTCTGGCTATCTCTGCGTGTGGACCAGGGTAGCTACGTGTAACATCATCACTGCGAGTGGACCAGGGCAGTTGTGATTGTAAAGGGCACCAGGGTCATTGAAGTGCATAGGCCTCAAGGTGGGTTCGGTGAGGTTCAGTGCAAACAACTAATACTGCATCACTCGTTAAAATAATATCAATATACTAAATACACATTATATACTATAATACTGACTGTAAAGTGTAAGAAATTATTGGAAAAATCGAAGAAATAACTTGTCACAGACAGACATGGACCGAACATAACATCAGTCCCCATTGATTTTTTTGTTTTCCTTTTTTTTTTTTAGTTTAATTTTTTTAAAAAAATTATGAAAAAATCCTCATTAAAATTACAAAAATAAATCTACTATATAAGTTTATTCCTATAAATTAAAAGCGATTCCTCCCCTTTACAAATTTTTTTTTGAGTCACAGACATAGAAGGGAGCCAAAAACTTAATTGGAAAGAGAGCAAATTGTGAAATTTTAGTGTTGAAGCATTCTAATATTTGGAAGTGTGAAATACTTCACCTACTAGTTGGGATGTCATTTTCTGCGAGAAGTGGACTCATTACTTGTCCCTACCACTGTTTAGCTGACCACAACTCTTTTCCTTCTCTCACTGAAAACGTGGGGAATAATAAGACAAGTGGTAGTTGAAATTCCACATGATCTCTGGTATATGACAAAAATGCCCCCTATCAACATACCTATCTCTTTCTCTTATAATGATGTCATGTCCATGTAATTAACATATTCTATTATCCGTTTTAATAAAGTTAACATCCTTTGTGTTGTTGAAAAAAAAGCTAGGATGAGGATGTTGTGAGTTTACTGGCAATGTTATGGGGTGTTATTAATTAATTATACGTTGATACATAAAATATATATATATATATATAATAAAATTTATTTATTATTATTTATTGGTATTTAATTATCTTGTCATCAGTACAACATGGCCCATAACAGTACTTCCTCAATCAAAGCAAGGCCTCTCTGTATGTTGTATGCTTTCTTTATTGTTTATGATTTGTTATCGGCAGCATAGGCAATATGGCCCAGCCAACCAATGAGCACCACTACCCCATGCGTTTGCTTGAATTTTGAGAGAAAAAAAAACACACACACACACACACAAATCTCCATAGTATATTATCCTCACCAAGAACATGAGAGAGAGAGAGAGAGAGAGAGAGAGAGAACCGTAATTATCTATGAACAAGAAGTAGTTAGGTAGGCCATTTCCAAAATCTTGTTACAAGACACCTTTCCAAAATCTCTTTTTAAAATACACATTCATCAGCCGAAGAATTTGTGAACCCTAGCCACTTTCACAGACTCAACTCAATGTAGCTGCAAACCCAATTTTTTCTCATTTTCGACGACAGCATTGCGATTGCAGAGATGAGATTTTCTCATCTCACATCGAATTCACCTTTCTTCTACTCTGTTCTTTAGCTTGCAGGTAAACTTCTTAACACACAAAATTATTCAATTTCGATTCATTCATTTATTCACTTTTCTGATTGTCATTTCTCTTTCTCTTACACTCGTTCCTCATTGCAGCTGCATTTGATCTTTTGGATCCTAACGGGTTTCATTCATGATAGCTATGCAGTGAGTAACAGGTTTCTAGCATTTTTAATTTTCATTCATTCATTATTTTTCTTCAATTGCTTCAAACTCAAGATGACTTGCCTTCAAAATTTTGTTTCTTTATTAACACTGCAATATCTATTTTCTCCATTCTGTTTAAATTTTCCCCAAGCCATACATCAACTGTGTTTTCATACCCTTTCTTGTACTTTCGGTGGAACCAAGAACAAATCAACATACACATCAACTAAGATAACTATTCTCAATTCCAGAACAAATTATATCTTAATTACACATATGTATATTCTATCAACTTCTGGCAGTGACAACCACCTTGTTCAACTAAATTACATTAATTTAATTAATGTTTTTCCGTTGATTGCGAGCTCCTAAATTTTCCCCCCCGATAGTAGAGGAAAGTTTGAAACGGAACCTTTGGACACAGGTAAACAAAATATAGAATTCTTCAAAGGAATAATACAGTAGAAATTTAGTTGGGAAATTTAGCATAACATGATGTGTTTGTGAAAACGAACTACAGATATCAAAATTTCTACAACGAAATCTCCTCAGGTATAGCCACTAAAATGTTGTAAACTACATATTTACCTCTCCCTTCTTTTCTTAAAAGGAAAAATATGGATGTTGAAAAAAAAAAAAAATCTAAGAAAGTTTTCACATCCCATAAGCAAATGCACTTTCCAGAATGAAATTGCCAATTTATTCTCAGAGCCTGGCTTTTTCTTCACTCGCAGTAGGAATTTGATATCTTACAAGAATTCAAACTGAGAACAAAAACAAACCAGCCCTAAACATGAATTAGCTTCAATTTTTCTGTATATGGTTCTTATCTCATTACAGTTCTAAATATCTGCACTACCTTGGACATTGAGCTTTTATAAACAATATGATTTAGTACAACAGTTGCAAGTAACAAATGGCTGTGAATTAACCCACACAAAACACAAACTGAAGTTTTTTCATGATGCGCACACCAGAACCCACAAGAATTTGCTAAATATGCGTGCCAGCATAAAATCTTCAGTTGATTTGTTATTGGTTCTGAGATGGGACTGATCCACTGGAAACTCATACGGTAACGCCATTTGCAGATTGTACCAGTGAGAAGAATCTTATATATATGCACATAAGAATGCCAAAGACGACAACATAGTCGCCATTAAAATAAGCAAACAGATAGCTGTCCGGGAACTGGCATTTGGTAAATATGGATAGGCATCAGGAGGTGGCATGACACAGTTATCACCATTGAAATAGATCCTTCGAGGAAAAGCCCATCCCTTCTCAAAAGTGAAAGTTGATTTATCCTTTCGGAGAAGTAGCTCTGACTGAACATTACCAAGAGGGCCAGCTTGCATTAGCAAATCATTGTAGAACTTGACTCCCCATAGCATGGCAGTATCATCTGTTCGTAGAATTGAAAGTTTAACAAGTTAGTCATATTTTAATGCACCACAACTAACAGATCCATTACTGAGCACACCAAAAGGTGAAAGAATTAACAAACAAGAGCATAATGAATTGAAAGATCTTACTTACTTATAGCTTGATAAGGAGTTAATGGTTTGTAGTTGAAGCTGAAAATCTGAGTCAAATTGTCAAAGTTGGGGTGTTGGACAACTAAGTTCCACTGTGTATAGTTCATCCTGTAATTGAAGTTTGTAATTGTGACCTTAACCCGCCAGTATTCTTTGTAATTAAGCTTAACATGCCAGTGAACTCTGACTGGGCACATATGGCTTGTACACTGAACCAGAGGAGTATAGCTGTTCTTGCCAGAACCTGAAACAACAGAAGCTAAATATGGCGAGTTTGGGCTGCAACACAGGAAAAACGTGTTAGAAGAAGCTGAAAGAAAATATTGTTAATGGAAGAAGATTAAGTAGAAGTATAATGAGATAACATACTCTACACAGCTTCCTGGCTGAGTGTCGTTGTTTTGGCAGCCACAGGTGCATGTTGGGCAGGGTACTATGGTGTCATTGTAGAAGGATGAGAGAGAGACACAGCAAGTGGGAGTTTTCTGAGCCAGGAATTGAGAATATGTGCATGTAACATTCCACGTCACTGTCATAACAGAGAAATCAGGTTAAGATCCAATATAAGGATCTAAATATCTTCATTAGGGAGACTTTTTTCCTTTTTATAGAAATTCTCCTTTGTCAGAAGTAAATTTGTAGCACTTCAGCATTTCTAATAATTAATATAAACTCCTTGCAAGATAAAGCCAACAGCCATTTAGAAACGTGATTTTCTAATTATTATAATTATCTTTATAGCAAAGCTAGTAAGTTCTATTTCAGTTGATTTCTATATGCATTACATTTATCTATATGAAACGAACGTATCATGGTGCTACTTTGGTCTTTTAACATGAAAGAAGCACAAAGAAATGTAACCAATGCAATATACAAGCTTCTGCAGGTGACTTACTCATAGCTTGAGTGACTCTTCTTCCATCTTGGGAAACAAATTTAGTAGGTTTAACAATTTTTGCAGGTCCACAAGTATAACCAGGCCCAGGCGCTCTCAAAGTGAAGTTCTTGGGCACTCTGACTGTTTTATTAGTGGTTCCAGCAGCACCCACACTAAGTTGGAAGGAGCTTGCAGCATTTGCAGGATCTTGCACCCAAGAGTTAATTACTCCTCCCTTGCAGCAATTTGCAATCTGCTGGTTGTAAGGAGTTCCTGGCAATAAGTCCACAACTGTTGGATCCTTCCTACAGCAATGCGGAATGTTCCCTTTGAATCTTGAACAATCTCCTTGGTCTGTGGTTTGGCCTCCCAACATGCTCCATATCACCTCCTTCTTTGCCCATGTCCATCCTAGTGTCCATCCCGGTGCTTGAATGTGACGATATTGCTGGAAGTTGAACATTGTGACAACAGCCTATCCAATTCCAATAAGAAGCTGATTAGATGCTGAACGCATGGAATAAAGGTACCTTGAAGAATGAATGGAAGGATTGAGCGTGACTATATATATATATATAACAATAATAAAACCGAATTTTTTAATCAGTTTGTCTAATGGGATTAAAGTACTCTGTGATGTCTCCTTTGACCTAATTAAAGCCATATGCAGGTTGAGTTAAAGGTGAAATGAATTTTTGTAAACCCAATCAACTAAGTGAACTAGTACAAAGTTGTCTTCTTTAAGTGTGAAAAAGAACCTAAAATAGGTATAATCGACAGCTGACAGCTGAATGCATTTTGGATAACGATATTAGAAGTAGTAGTAAGAACAACAATAATACCATTTGTATAATATAGATTATTAGCACATTTTATTGATAAAGTTAGTGCTGAAGAACCTTCAAAGCATAATGTTAATTGTAAACAAGTGAAAAAAACATTGATAAGGATAGTTCGAATATTTGGTTCCCCTTTTTTTTCCCCCTTTTTCGCTGCACAAAAGTTGGTTTAGCTTAAATAACTTAACAAGGTGCTGCAGGTTTGACTTTAACAATCCGAACTTGACTATTACTAAGAGAATGTAATCTCTCTATGTGTGTGGGACAGAGAGAGAACTAAATTTAAATAAAATAAAAAAATAAAAAGATATAGTTTTCTAATACTTACAACATAGCCATCTGGGGTCCAGCTAATAACATCCCATTTGATTGTGATATTCCCATTTGGGTCAAGTGCATCATAGGCTTCTGAATAAACAACCGACAAAGAAATGTTAGAACTTTGTTCTGGTGACAAACTTGTAAGTTGTACATGGAAAAAATTAGGGGGCATGTATTCGAAGTCTAAACACAAAAAGAAAGTCCCATAGTTCATCACAAATAAACAATAAATAAATAATAAAAAATGACTATAGAGTTTATGAAACGTGGCAAGGGTTCTTATACAGCTCCTGGTGCACTTTTTGTCAGCAGTTCACAAACCCAAAAATCCTATATACAAATGTAAATTTAGTGCCAAAAAGTTCTGTTTTTTTTTTAAGTGAGGAAGAAGAAATGTCATGTTTTAAAAACAGGGCCAATCCTTTGATTCACTTGTTAATATCTAATCCGCCTTAATGCTTTACATTATTTCATTTGCAGACATTTCCCCATTTCTGAATTAATTTCTGCAACCCAATCACTTAATCTTGGTGATATTGTAAAATATTCAGAAAAATTACAAAGAAACAAAAGCACTATGGCACATTGAACAAATAAATAGAGTGAACCATCAACCAATCTATATCACCAATTCTAGAATTTCATTAGACAAATTTAGAATATGCATGAACTATACATACTTGATTGCAACTTGAACCACTAGTTCAACTAGAAGTCTAGAACAAAGGAATGGAGTGAAATTTCTTCAAGTCAAAATTGGGTATCATCTGATCAAGAAAATCGCGGAAAATAAGTTATGATCTAATTTAGGGTTTACTTTTTCTTTCAATTAAAAACAAAAAAGAACAAAGAAAACCTCAGGTATTTAAAAATAAAAATAAAAATAAAATAAAACAAAGGAAAGGGTTATACAGAAAGGGTTATACAGAATCAATTTGCCACAAAGACAAGAATATAAATGAAAATAGAAAATTTGAATTCTAAAAAAATTACAATCTTTTGCAATCCATCTCCAAAAGAAGCTAACGTAAGAGCAAAATCTCAAGTTGCCACCAAAATCCATTGACATTAAGCATCAAAGAAACCCTGAGGATAAAAATATACAGAAATTTATGGATTAATAAAGGAAAACCATTTCATCATCGTCCAATTCTGGACACAAAACTCGCAAAATCATCCATCACTTCAGTCAAAAAGAACCCGAAGCAGCGTTCATTGAAACGAATCAAATCTTCGGAAACAACCCAAACCCATTTATAACAACCAAAAATCAGAAAAAAAACTATATAACTCCAACTATAGAAACAATGATTTAGAAATACGGAGTAGTAAAGAAATAATGTGCAAACCTGTTGATTTTAAGCAGAAGCAAGAGAGCAAGAACACAAGGACGGCGATGGAAGTGGTGGATTTGGTAAAAGATCCGAAGCAGAAACCCATATCTTGTCCCCAACTCTCTTGGATTTCTTGGATGATTTGTGCGAAAGGTGAAGAGAGAGAGGAGTGGCTGGGTTTTGGCCAAGTTTGTTGAAGAACTAGTAGACTTAAGTCCTTAACATCACTGTCACTAGTTATTAAAATAATTCAGTCCTATTCTTTTCTTGCCGAAAAATGTATCCTCATATATACGGGCCATAGTATATATATAGCCTTCTAGGGGAAAGGCTAATCCTCGACAGCTACGTTCTGTTGCAAAAGAACGACGGCTCAATTAAGACCGTGGATCTTATAGATCAGCAACACTTGCGATGTTTGACTTTGACTGATTCCAATACCTGCTTGCAGTGGGTATTATTGCTAAAGAACTGACAGTCGGAGCTTGGCTGTTACCCAGTAAAGTGACAGCCAGCTGTCGTGCTAGCTTATTGTTTACGCATGACATGATTTTTCCATTAAATATAAATACCGTAGTAATTACTTGTTAAATCATTTATAAATGGAAAATGCTATATTTTGGAGTAATTACTTGTTAAATCATTTATAAATGAATAAATATTATACTACACGAATTTTGATTTGTGATTTTATCTTGAAATTAGGTGGTTACTTATTTTTCAATTTATTTGGTTGTTTTGTGTGTTTTAAAAGTAATTTTTTTAATATAGAAAAATACCTTAATGTAGGAAACAAAGAAAAAGGGTAAAACTTATGATTATGGAATCCAAATCCTCATAAATTTCAATTCTTTACGTAGACTCTTTTGATTAAATTTTTTAATAATTAAAACTATAAGTTATAATTTTTTATCATAAATGAGTGACCTCTTTCTCGGGAATAATAATTCAAATAATTAAAATTAGAAACTACAATTTTTTACCATGAATGAATGATTTTTTTTCTTCAGATAATTCACTTAAAGCCTTTTATAATTGTATTTTGATTTGGTATTTTCTGATTAAGGTTAAATTTAAAGGAAATAGCTAACAGTAATTGAAATATATAGAGAGTGCATATGAGAATATATATATATATTTGTATATATAATAAAAAAATATTAGTAGAGAAAAACAAATTAGAGATTGAGAGAAACTTACCGTAATTGTTTGTTCTTTCATTTTTATTCAATTGATAATTTGTTTAATTTTTAAAAATAGGAAACATAAATGCATAAAAAAATAAAGTGCAATATGTATTAAAATAGATGATCTTAGTGTCTTTTTAGTTATCGCAACCTAAATCACTGAGAGTGCAAAAGCATCAAACTCTATATTTTTTTTAGAGCGGGAGCGTCTCAATATTGGGTTTAAATAAAATTATACTAGGTCGTGACATATATATTTTATATATTTTTATTTGTTTAAATACATATGCAAATATATTCACAATAATTTATTCAATTAATGATATAATAAGCTATCTTTTCTCACTAATAGATGCGTGATTTATTTGTAATATTATCTAATTAAAAAGTTTTTTAATAGTATATTTTCAAATATGTATAATTAATATATATATATATATGGCAGTATAGCAACGTCATACAACTGGGGCACACTGAAATTTAATTAATTAATGTATATATTTAGTAATATTGTAGGTAATAAATGTATATATGGTAATATATCACTGGAACTCTAACAAATTTAGTAATATAAAGTAAGTTCATATGGAAATCACGAATTAGGAAAACAAATTCGCGAATTGTAAAAATTGAATTCGTGAATTTTGTGCGACGCTCCCAAATCGTAAATTCGCATGCGGAGGTTGAAAGCGAGGTCTCTTTAAACGAATTGTGTGACTTAGATAGCAACATTAGATTCAAGATCTAATTTTAAATTTTAATTCGAGATGTGTAGCACTACTCTTTATAAAAAAATAATAATAATAAAATAAAAAAAAAATTGTCTTTTGTCACACCGTATATGTAATTAATCTCGTGTTTATTTTCTAGTTAAAAAACGTACTTTCGGATTCAAGGATATAGTTACTGTTAAAAAAAAAAAAAAAAAAATTAAAGATAAAGTCATATTTATAAACTGTATTTTTTCTATTATAAATTATCTCCTGGGTTACACCAACCAAACAATAATATAGACCAGAATATTGTTATGATACTGTTATTGTTATTATTATCTTGTGGCTATTTGACTTTGGTAATAAAATTAAAAAGTAATTTATAACACATAAATAAAGAAAAAATAAACATTGGATAAGTAAAAAAAATATATTAATATACAAATCGTGTCAATTGTGTTGTCTTTCTCATATAAACATCTTATTACAATGGTATGAATGGATTTTTAAATATATCTTCTTGTTAGAATGAATGGATTTTACTTTTCATTTTTATTCTTTTCACGTAATAAGGATAAATTAGAAAGGTAAAATAATATATTGTGTTGATATTTGAGAGAGTCATGTTATTTATAATAAGAGTCATTTCGCCACAGGAGGAATAGGTACTTCTACTTTTTTGAGTCATTGAATCAGGACGAATTTGTAAGATTTATAAAAGAATCATTTAAAAAAAAATTTTAATTAATTGATTAATAAGGGGCGCTCATTATGAGGTAAAAGGATTTTTTTTTTATTTTTTTAATTTGAACGGAATAGGATTATTTTATTTGAAAAAGAATGAATTAAAATTGAAAAGATGAAAAAATATGAGAGGGAAGAAGAATGAGTGGACTTTGAACTACAAACTTTTTATTAAACCGAAGGTCCCCGACTCAATCATGGGCTCCCCCACTTTAATTAATTAATGCATCATCATCATCAAATGAGTGTACGCGTGAACAAAGTCCGCCTTTAAGTTGGTGCTAAAATCCATTTTCCACAATCTTCCAATGACATTTTTTTTTTTTTTTTTTGGTTTAAAACATTTCCAATGACTTGTTTTTCTTTGTCTTTCATAGACGGTATATAGCCACCTCTTTTTTGGCAGAAATTATTGTATGAAACAAGTCCACCAATTCATTTTGCTTAGTTGGTGGACTGCAGCAATTAATTGTAGACAAATGTGATAAAAAATTATTTTTATATTCCACACCTAAAATGCTTGCACTCGCACCTGATCATTTCCCTCTCTCATCCCCCTCTGCAGTCTCTTTTCTCCCTCTCTCTAACCTCTCTCTATCTCACCCTCACCCTTTGCAAAACCCAAATCAAACAAAACCAAAAACCCGATCTTTCCAAACCCAAATTCATCACTTCACCAATGTCAACCTTCGCCCGGAAAATCAAACCAAGAACCCAAGCGCAAAACGGCGTTGTCTTTGTCGGCGGCGGAACAAGAGCACCGGAAAAAGACATGATAGCTGCTACAATAGAGAGTCCAAGACCAATAGAAGAGTAAGCAAAAGACATGATAGCTGCTACAATACAGAGCCATGAGAGCTTGTGAAAGTTTGGTATTTGACTCAGGACGATCTGAATCACCTCGAAGATGCTCATAAAAAATGGATAATTTGATATTGAACATGCATTTTTGCCTTAGTAAAGTCAAATCCAACATACTTTAGCAATCATGCATTTTAGACTTTCGATTTTTAAAAATTATTGGTATCAGTTGGTGGCCTGATCCACTTTGTCATCATAGTTACAATTTGATGATTTTGATTTGTAAAATGCTTCACTTTGTACATGTTCACACTTATATGCATTCTCTAGGGTATAAATTTGAAATTTTGTTCTGATTTGTGTTAAATTGATAAATTTGATTATTTTCAGAACTAAGGTATAAAAAATATATATATAAAAAAATAATGGTATTTATGCAATGAAAAAAAATGATGAATGAAAAGAATTCTTCACCAAGAAGTGAAAAAAAAGAAAAAAAAAAAAAAAAAGAGTTAAGTTTGTGTTTGTATCTAGATTACTTGAATAATTAAGTTTTTAAGGTGTTTCAACACCTAATGCCCTAAAACCATTTGATTTAGGAGTCATTAACTGAAAGTTCGTTACATAAGTAGTTTAGGTAGCTTAGATTACTTGAGCAATTAAGTCTTTAGGGGTGTTTTGACACTTAATGCCCTAAAACTATCTGGTTTGGGAGTCATTGACCGAAATTTCGTTACATGAGTAATTTAGAAAGCTTAATAGACGTGAGTATTGCACACTACCTTTTTGAAAAAAGAAAAAAAAAAGAAAAAAAAAAAAAGAAAAAGAGTTGAATAAATGAGTGATGAATGAAATAAATGTATACCGATAGAAAATAAAAAAAAAAAATACTTTGGGGATCAGAATTTAAAAGGTTTACTTGTGACTTAAGGGATAACATGAGTTTAATTATAAATATGAATAGCAAGCCATATGTTTAAAATTGTGACATCTGCACGTGTGACTAAGGCTAGTATGCAAACTGAATGGAAGTGAATAAGAGTTAGTTGATACATCAAAGTGTGACTACGTGCTCGTTTGGTACAGCTTTTACCTATGCTTTTACATAGAAGAAAAAGAGAAGCTAAAGCTATCACTTCTATTCGACTTAAAATAAGGGCATTTAGAAAAAGAGCGTTTAGCTAACATCCAAACTGAATAAGAATGAATAAGAGTTAGTTGATGCATCCAGTTAATGTGAAACATAAAAGCTTTATTTATTTATGTAAAATCCATTAACTAATTTTTAAATGGATTGAGTTTTATCCCAAACATTACTTTAATTATCTTTTGGGCAAAGTGAAAAATACATTCTTAATGTTTTAATTTTGGATAAATAATACCCCTATAATTTATTTTTAGTATATAAGTCCATTAAATTTGAATAAAATGCGACAAAGAAGGATTTGAGGTCATTATTTCTTTAACAATTTAGTCATGTGCATTGCACATGACAATTTTAAGATATAAAATTTCAAAAGTATCATGGTCTCTTCCAATAATACTCTTGTATATATATACACTTGTCACATTTAATTAGTTTATCTACTTATTTTTTATTTAGTTATAGAGAGATATTTTAATATTTTCAACATTCAGGTCACTTTGCACCAAAATAAAATATTAAGGTGGTTTTAGAATGTGTATGGGGTTATAGACCGCAATCTTATATTATTTATATAAAAGGAGGGACACAGTTATTTCACATGTAAATAATTTTTTAACTTATTTTTGTATTTAATTATATATTGAGACTTTAGTCTTTTTAATATTCAGGTTCTTATTTGTTCCAAAATTGAATATTATGGACTTTTTATAGGTCTGTACATTCTGTATATATAGCATATGAATGTTTTTTTGTTGTCGACCCTCATTTTTTAGATCTTGTTTAAATTATAAGGATTGATTTTCAATCATGTGCGTGTGATTCGATTCGGATCTGAACCCTAACTCTAAAACTTAAACTTAAATATTGACCACTTATATCTACTCCATTTCAAGTCCTATCAAGTTGTAATAAAGTTGAGATAAAATTATACATTTGTTATTTTTCAATTAAAAAATATCATTTAAATTGATAAGTTAGACTTAAAACAATAAACAAAAATTTATATGCGTTTAAATCACTTAAAACAATTAAAACACATCTAAAGATTCAGCTAATATTTTAATTTAAGTCTAACTTATATGTAAAGTAAAATTAAATTATTTTATATGCCTTTACAGGTGCATTCATTGGTCTCATTGGACCTTCAAATCATCAATTTTTCTTTTGAAAGGAGGAAATGCCAATAAAATTATTCCTGATATCATCCCAGTAAAATTGATAAAACATTGAAGAACCAAACCTACCAAAATCGAGAATGACGGTAGAAGAACTGAACTGGGGTGTACATGCAAATTGGGTGATAAAAATCTGTCTTGTGCTTCAGAAAATATTTTTTTTTTATTTTTTGGTGTTTAGTTTTAGTAAAATGTTTATTAAAAAAAATAAAAAATTACAAAAATAAACAAGCTCTGTGCAATACACAACACTTTAATTACGACCTAAAACCTTTATCAAATATAAAAAAATAAAAAATATAAATATTTTACGTGAAAGTAAACTTAGCCTAAATTAAATTAAAGAACGAATAGGTGAATAAATTGTTTCAACATGAAAATTCTTGACGTAACCTCGTTATCAATCATCGATATTTATAACCCGACTAAAAAATAACTTTAGAACACTACAGGGACAAAATAGGAAAAAGAAAGGAAAAGAGTAGTTTTGAAAAGAAGTCATGATTCGCTCCGTTGATTTTGATTCGGCTGGTCCAAGTAGGTGGTTGTGTTGTGCTAAAACCCAAAACTTCTCTCGGCAATTTCATTTCCATAGAAAAGGTTTCCGAAATTTGATAGAAGCAAAACACAAGATATCTTTTTCTCTCCAGAAGAATGAATCCTTGAGAATTGTTTGGCATTTCTTTAGGGTTTTGGGAGATTTGGTTAAATTTTTGGATTACTATTCGTTTCAAGTTGTCAATGGAGGCCTCTAGTTCTCAATCTCGGTCGTTCGGTCAAACAGAGATTAATTGGGACAAGTACGCTTCCTCTTCAGTCTTCAATATATTATATATCTGCGTACTATATGATTCGTTTATTAGCTCGATATGTTCTTACTTCTTGAATTCATTATTAATCGTTATTAATCTCTTCCACTCTGTTGTTAATAGTTTACCCCACTTCATTTCCATGAATTATAACTGTTCATACATGTTTATATAAATATATTTATATACTTAAATGCACATATTCATGTAACGTTGTGCAATAACAATGAACTAGGTTTGTTTTTTTGATGACAACTATGGGAGGATAACAAAAATAAAATAATAAATAAATAAATTCAGATAGCAAAGAGGAGATTCTCAAATGGAAGTCATTTTTATCAGATCTAATTTGTTCATCAGAGTTTCAGTTTGCAGAGGATGTATCTATAAATGTATTGTTGTGTAACCTTAATGAGCAACTTCTAGGTTTCCTTTTTAAGAGGTGTCCTAATGACAAATGAGTAATGATATGTTGCTAACAAGAGAGCCCTCTCATGACATCGTGTGTACACAGTTAGGAGACATTCGCGCATTAAGTGCCAACAACCTCTCCTCAAGGCGATGTGGACACTCATGGGCTTGTGCACGCTCCCATTGTTTTCAACTGGGGATGGGCTCTGATACCATGATGCCATTTGTCACAAACCACTCAACACCTGTAGATATTGTCTGCTTTGCACACCTTCGTGCTCACGGTTGCAATTTGATTAATGTATCTGTAAATCATCTTGCCTTGTCCTTAAAGAAAAATAAAAATGAAATGCAATTGCATTGGATAATCTGACATGCCATTACATAACGTTTGATGCAAAGCAAACAATTTGCTGCCATTGTATGCTGCACTACAGAATACAGATTGAAGTGCTACAACTGAAGACATAGAACTTCAGGCCACTATTACTTCTGTAAGCATAGGCTCATAATGATCCCAAGTAATCAAAGCCTTATGGTGACAAGTGACCTTTTGCCTCACAACAAAGCTTTAAATCAAAGATGAACTTGCAGTCAAGTCATTTCCCATGATCAGCATAAAGCATAAAGTGGATCTTCTGGACAAATTTTTTTGGAGGCACCAACTGCTACATTAACAAGAAATGGAGCTTTACTGGTTTAAACTACATTTCTTTCTCCACCTGATGTCCAGCTATTTCTTCCCTGAAGGGCACAATGTTGGAGCTTCAATCCATAAAGTTATTTAAAATGCCCATCTTCATCACCAGCCTTTTATTTAGCTTTGTTTATGTGATAAGGAGACTCTGGGAAATTTGCCCACCTTTAATGGATGCCATCAAGACTTGTCAGGAGATCACCTTGCAGTTGACTTTGTAAAGACTCTTAACAGAGCTAATTGGCTTGAACTCCTTCATACTAAATGCAATTCATCTGTTCCTTTTAAACTTAAGGTGATTAAACTGGGGTTTTCACTTTTTTCGCTCATCCGTTCGTATTAGACTAGTCATTTAGTCATACATGCCGTAATTTTTAATGTTCTTGGCACCTGTCATGTTGATTCTTCCAAGGCCCGGAGCCCCATCTCAATCTCAAAATAGGCTGCTTATAGTTTCTCTATGTTAAAGTGTCTCCATTGCCAAGAGGGTTCATGCTATTGGGAGTTCACTCTTAAGCCTTAATTCCAAGGCCTTTCAAAAGCATCTGTAGAATACAATATTCCCAGAGGCTTTAGAATTTAGCGGAACTACTTGAATTATATTGTTATTAATTAGAAATATTATTATGATATTCTCTAAACCTTCTTTGATCCATTGATCCAAATTGTCTTTGATCTTTGCCTTGCACACGTAAAAAAAGTGTTCTGCAAATTAGGGGGGTTTGATTGATGAAATTGGTGGTTTTTCTGATAACCTCTGCATAATACCTCAATTAAAGGAGAGGGAAATCATGCAACATCGTTGTGTGAAAGAACCTTTATCTCTCATCTTCAGTGTTTGAGCTCTCTTCCTTTCATGTCTAATTTTATTATTTGACTTTTTTTTTCCTTTTCTTTTGGTAATTACTTCCTTGACATTAATTTTATGGGGCAATAGCTATAATGATCTATGTTTTCCTGCTAGGAGTCTTTGATCTGCTGTCCTCTGAATCATGAACATTAATCTCTTTGTTATCTGGATTTTGTACTGAGAGCACAGAGGCTTGCAATCACTTTAAAATTTTAAATGTTTTTATTGAGAAATAATTATACATTATTACTATAAAGCTAGTGTGCAACATTTCAATGTTGCTGTTGAAGCTTTATATCTGCTTTAACAGATATAAAATCCAATATTGTTCCTCAGATGAATTTGAGGATTGGCTAATACAATGATAGCTCTTAAAATTTTGGTGTATCATAAAAAATAGGATAACACACAAGCTTGTGAAGTTTACACAGCACATTAACATAGGACTAAACATAAAATCTTTAATATGTGGGTTCATATACATGGTTTAAAATGCTCCAAGTATGCGATTCATGCCAAATATATCTTATTCTCTGCTCATGAGTTATGAGGAGGCTATGCCTAATGTTATTTGTAGGGTTCGTTTTATAATGTGTTCTGTGGCCCGTTCTTCATAATTCAGATACCCTTGTTATGTGAATTAAGATTGGCTATTGAAAGTAGACTGGGAGACCAAAGGAAATATATCTTCTTTACAATCATTGTGCAACTAGAATCCTTGTGGCATGTATTTCAAATAACACCTTTCACCTTGTTATTTTAAATTTACATAAATAATCCTCCGAAATCAAATCTATGTATCTTGTTGGAACCTTAATCTGAACTATTAAATCAAAATCTAAGCCATACACCTTAAATAATTGAACCCAATCCGCTCATTTAAATCCCTCTTTCGAATCTAGTTTTTTTATTTAGCTGAAATGGAGAACTTTTAATTTACAGTCATTAAAAATTTTAATATAAGGAATTTCAGTAGTCCCTCATCAAGACATAACTTTTTCTTATTTCCCTTTCCTCCCCCCCCCCCCCCCACACACACACACACACCAAATGCCAACGGCTTGAACCCCTCACCTCCCCTTTGAGGAAAGAGAGGTTGTATAATGGCCCAGTGGTTCTTATTTTTCTTGTTGCTGTTGTTGTTTTCCTTTTTTGATTTTAGTCTTTCCAATTTTATTCTGATTTTTGGAGTCTGTAAATTTATTCATTTCTTCCACCTATCCTGCAGGCTTGATAAAACTAAGTTTTATGTCGTAGGAGCTGGACTATTTACTGGGGTTACAGTAGCACTGTACCCTGTTTCCGTTGTAAAGACGAGACTGCAAGTTGCTTCAAGTGATGTTGCTGAGAGGAATGTATCTTCTGTGATTAGAGGCTTATTGAAAACAGATGGGATTGCTGGTTTATACAGGGGTTTTGGCACCGTGATCACCGGTGCAATTCCTGCCAGGATTATATTCCTTACTGCTCTAGAGACCACCAAAGTGGCTGCTTTCAAGATGGTTGAACCGTTTAAACTATCAGAACCTACACAGGCAGCCATAGCAAATGGAATTGCTGGCATGACAGCTTCACTTTTTTCTCAAGCTGTTTTTGTTCCAATTGATGTGGTATATAATCCATTTTTAGCTTGAGATTTTACTCGTTTATTGACGTATAAGTATAATTTATATTAAGGTTAATGCTCTGGGGGGTAATATCATGTTCCTTGGCTTCATTAGAGAGCAATAGCATGCTAGGAACAATTTAACCTAAGAGAGAAACGGAGTTTTTGATGCGTAACAACCTTGAGTTATGGTTCATGTTCAAAATTGCTTGCAACTGATAAATTTGCAAACTTGGAGTGCATATTAGAGCATTTCCTATCATCATCATCATCATCATCATCCTTGCCTTAATCTCATATGAATGCGGTCGGCCATGTGAATACTCTCTCTCCAAACTTGAGTGAGAATTCATCAAAATGATTTGACAATAAGTTTTACTGTTGGTTGTGTACCTGACACTAACCCACATCCTTTTCACATTTGGCCTTGGATACTGGCAGTGGAAGAGTAAAAAATTGTCAATATTATAACTAAGATTGATTTACACTTTTTCCCTTCTGATTTTTCCTCTTACTTTTGTTCACAATTATATTAGCTTGAGAAGGAGAATTTTTTCTTTGCAAAAAAATAAAATAAAAATGATAATGACAATGTTTTTCCAATTTTAATGCATGCAGTATACGTTTTTCTTTGGAATCTTGAAAATTTGAGCACTTCTTTCCCTTAATATTACTGCTTTGCAGCTTTTGATTTATTTGCTTTGGGTCGCTAATCTCCATGGTATTGGACTTGATCAGATTAGCCAAAGGTTGATGGTGCAAGGTTACTCAGGCCATACGAGCTACAATGGGGGTCTGGATGTTGCTCGTAAGGTTTTGAAGTCGGACGGTATTAGAGGACTATATAGAGGGTTTGGTCTATCTGTTATGACTTATTCCCCATCTAGTGCCGTATGGTGGGCAAGTTATGGTGCAAGCCAACGTTTCATCTGGAAGTGAGTCTTGCTGGTTAGATATCATTCAGTGCTATGGTTTAAAAGATCTCACTTATTTTAAATGTTCAGTCCAATTGAGTGATTATTTCTTTAGTTGACATTGTCTGTGATGTACGTGTATAAATTGTAATCTAATACAACAAACTTGAGTTTTACTTATCCTCAATGGATACTATGGCCCATGCCTTCCCAGAGCTCAGTAACTCTAATGATGTGGGGTTCTCTGACTTCTCTCTGACTATTGGGCTTTATGTGAAGGCAATATTTGGGTGGTCTAGATAAATAAGTTTGTTGGTGTTCTGGATGGATTGCATAATAACAAGTATAACAAATTAGATGCGTACTCTTTTAAAGTTCGGTTCTTGATTCGTTTAATCAAATTTTGTATCTGTTGATTAATATTTCAACATCCTTTTTTTCTTTTGCGAAATATGGCAGGCACTTAGGTCATGGTACTGAGCATGAGGTGTATGCTCCTAGCCAGGGAACAATAGTGTTCGTACAAGCTGCAGGAGGGATATTTGCAGGTGCTACAGCATCCTGCATCACAACCCCATTGGACACCATAAAGACCCGCTTGCAGGTAAAATTAACTGGCACCGAACTTCTTTTCTTGTCAGTTCCTGCATTGCCTCCTGTGACTGGTTCAATGCTCTGCTAGGACAAGGGCTCTTGTGCATTAACTCATGCTGCTGTTTGAGTGTCTTGCTTTTAAATTAATGAAAACCAGAACCATTAATTACCATATTCAAATAGTTGCAAGATTATTGTTCTCCAAAATTTTCAGGGATGCCTGGTTTGTGTGTATACTTCATACCTATAATAGCATTTTATGCGGGTTTTTTTCTACTTCAGAAAATAAATTAAGTTATTATTCTGCCTTCAATTATTGTCTTGAGCATAGTAGACTGTCTCCATCTAATAAAATGCTTGATTGATTTTGGCTGTTGGTCGCATAAGGAGATGCCGCAGCAGTTCTACGTAAATACAAGAAGTAGCTTTCAGGTTTCCATCAAATGGGTTTGTCCCCATATTAGTAATCAGAAAAGAAACAACTTTGTCCTTGTAGCTTGCTTCAACCCTTTCCCCCTCCAATTGTTTTTTATTTTTGTTTTTGTTTTATTTATTTATTTAATTTTTTGCGGCGTAATAGAGACTGTATGGGTGCAATGGTGTGTCATGTTAGTGGGTCTATAAGTGGCATAATATAGACTGCATGGGTGCCATGTTATGTTAGAGAAACTCGAGGAGCAGTCCTAGATCACAAAATATCTGTGCAAATGTACAGGTGTTTCCTACTAGGTCTTGCTCTCATTATCCTCCGTCATGACAGAATTAAGAAACTTATTCATACTCTCATAGACAGTGCACCGTGAATATGGCTTTTATTATTTCTAATTGCAATTCTATGTTTCAGCAAGTACTTTCTTTTGTTGATTTTCTCTTTTTTTACTGGTTTCTGCATTATAGGTGATGGGACATGGAAAGAACACCACAAGACAAGTTGTTAAAGGCTTGATAAAGGATGATGGTTGGAAAGGTTTATATAGAGGATTGGGTCCAAGGTTTTTTAGCATGTCAGCATGGGGAACGTCAATGATACTAGTCTATGAATATCTGAGTATGGACTCTTTCTTATTTACACCATTCCTTTATAAAGTATCACATCAGTGAGATAACAAATTGTTATATTATTTTATAAGTAACGTAATATTATTGTTTCGAGAATAAACTACTCCAGAAAATGGTGGCAGTAATGCAAACTGCTAGCCAATTTTCTTTTCTTTTCTTTTCATGGTCCAATAGCTCATGAGCTATCATTTACATGGCCCCTAGGATCAACGGACCTATGATGTTAAGACCCATGGAGAGGCTAGTTAATTAAATAGTGCCTTTCTGCTGTTGGAGTTGTCACTAGTTTGCTCGTACCTTGACTTAAATGTCTTTTTATATGTTCTGCTTAAGTATTCTACCTCATGGTGGTGGTTTTTTTTTCTTCTAATTTGTGCATAGATTTCCGACTACAACAGTCAAAATATGTCATTATCATAATTAATTCTAGAGAAAGGTGACCTTTAGCTTGGCCAATCTTCAATACCCACGATGGCTTTTTTTGAATTGTGCAAGACACGCACAGACAAAACCTCCCAAAAAGAAAGCAGGGAAAAAAAAGAATAGAACAGAAGATAACTGATCTTTGGAGAAGCTGGCATGGGTTTTCCTATTGGCTTGTGAAATATGAGTAACACGTGTGTTTGGAAGTAACTTACATATGAGCACTCCTCGTTAATCATTTACTTTAAAAGCATATATTTTCAAACGAGATTATCTTTACTGGTGAAAAACCACTCCTATTCTTATATTTTTATTTATTTATTTATTTTAATCTTCATGGTGTACGGAACATTTTGCAGCTAGCTAATGTTTTTCATGAGTTATTGGATGTCTGATTGTATATATGCACACGTTCATGTTATACTTGTGTCATTCTTATCCTTGCTCAAATTTTTGGTAGAAGAAACCAGTAACCTGGGCATATTTGAAGTCATTGCTTTATTGTTGATTCTTGAACTCAATCTACGATAGTGTTTCCCCTTTTTATCTGTACTGATAGTAGGCTAGGGTATTTGGGAAGCCACTTTTCTCTGGTTAATTTCAAGCTAAATCTATAAATGTTTGATATTGATTAAGTTTTGTTAATAATACAGAGCGCTTGTGTTCAAAAGACGAATAGATTCATCCAGCAATGCCCTGCAACCTTTGCTTCTTGCTCTTGAATGGCAGAATCTTCAGTTTACAGCTGACACGAACTGAATGTATTATTGAAGATAGCAACATTCAGAGGAATGCTTACCGTGCACTCCAATTACAGAAACAGAGTCGCTGACATTGTAGCCTTTGTTATTTGATTGTGACTGGGGAGCCGACCTCAAGGCTATTAAAACTGAATCACTTATCAATTTGTTGAAAGGCACATATGGTCCACCTTTCAATTCTTTTCAGATTCTTATTATGTTCTTTTACTCGGGGTACAGTTGAATCAAATTTGATGCCGGAAGCAAGTGTATTTTTTTGAAACAGAGTGTAATTTTTGAGTTAGAGAATGTTCTGTTTATGGGATCATGTTACATTGTTCCGTAGTATTCTCTTTTCACCTTTGATATGTTTTTATAATTTAAAGCACCTGACTATCAATAAGATTGATATACAATGGAAAATTTTATAGCTTGAGTGTTTGTAAACCAAGTTGGAAAAAGGCTTTGCGGAGTTGGAGTTTATGATATTTTGTATGCACAGAGTTTTATAAATGAAGAATGATAGACTGTATTATTTCGAGAGACCAAGATATTTGGTTCTAAATACGTGCAAGACTATGACAAATTTTGATCATTGGGAACTCTATCCTCTTATTGGCTTTTCCAAAACAGCAGAGAAAAATAGCTCATCGCCAAGTTTATCCGTCTTTGGCACCACCCTCCACAGCAGCTTTCTGTAGCCTAGCTTGGTGAACTCATCCAAATAGAGTTCCATGTCTTCTTTCTTACAAAAGAATCTGTCCACCCAAAGAAGACCCTTGGGCCGAAGGACACGGTCCCAATCAAACAGGACAAACTGGAGGAGTTCCATTCCGATCCACCCATCCAGAAAGAGAGTAGTATGAACAATATCCAGTGTATTGTCAAAGAATGGCAATCTGGAGCCGATAGATATGTATAGAGGAAGTAGGCCTCTGAGTGCCATCACCTCATTAAAAGGGGCACCTAAGTTTAAGGTAGCCGATGCAACGGTAACATTTTTCTCCCTCATGAGTGCAGCAAATGTGCCCGTTGATGGGCTGAAATCCAGGCCAATACTGATCTTCCCTGGCTTTAGTCTTAGAACTTCATCAATGGTGAATTCAGCTGAGACAGACTCATGATCTCCCGGAACTTCCCATCTTCGTCTCGAAAGATCAAAGCAATCAGAACATTTGAAGAACCCTCTTCTATCAATTGTTTCATTGGAAATAAGACATTTATAGTCTCTGCACTTGTAATGGTTCCACAAGATGTTAAAATCACTAGGCTGAGTCCAAAGTGAGGAGTTCAAAGGAAGTGGCTTACTGTAATGTGGAGGTGTTCTTGAGAAGCACCTTCTCCTTGGTAAAGGATCACACCCACTGGCTATGAGCTTCTGAGCCAGGTCCCAATCATCTGGGCACACACCATATATCTTGTAAGTCATGAATCGGTCTATATTTGAGGCCATACCGGCACATCCCAGTCCGATGGAAGGACTGACTGCTTCCAGACCAAGAAAATTCTTTCTTCCACTTTGCCTGTTTGGTTTGGGTGAAGTATAATTGCGAAGCTCTGCAGAATTGAATACCCTTCCAAGCAACGGCCCTACTGTTTCGATTTCCTCAGGATCACTGAAATCTTCGTCTACGTTGCTTGTTTCGTTTCCAACCACAGTTGCATTGCTATAGAATCCAGAGAGACTATCTGCAAGCTTGTCAAATGAAACAGCAATGCTTAGTACTTGATCTGAAAACTTTGAGATTGCTTTTAGTTCTGTATGCTCATTGTGAAGCTGCTCTAACAGGAGTCCCAATTGGGTTTGCAAATGAGAGATCTGGTTTTGGAATGAATAAGGTAAAGCAATTTGGAGATTGGAGTTGGTTGAAGTAGGGGTGAACAGAAATTGAGGGTAAATGAAAATGGAACCAAAGATGATAATTGTGAAGCTACTGATGAGGAGAAGAGGGCATACTTTTTGGGAAGACGACCTCCTGGAAATGGAAGGCATTTTGAGGGATTGGTGTTACTACTTGGTTTCTGTATCTCTCAGATGGATCTTTTTGTGGTGAAAAAACTATCATTTTTGTTTCTTAATTTCTTCAACTGTTGACTTTGAAAGTGAGCTCAGATCCTCATTTAAAGTTTGATCCTCCCCAAGTGCCTAATTTACATTCTTTACACACACACACACACACACACACACACACACATATTGGGTTGTAGTTCTTTGGAAGCTTCAGATTAAAGCTTCTTGACGTTTGATACTTTAAACTAATGGATTTGGGTTAGCTAATTGTGAGCTGTCATCATTTGGTGGATGCAGAAACAAAAAATGTTACTCCCACCATTCTTTCTCCAATATTTTCATCCCAACTGCAATAAATAGGTCGAAAATACAACTTTTTCCGGAAGAAAAACATTATGTTTATGTTTCAAGTATCGACACCTTGAAATTGAAAATGGAAATTTTTAGAAAATTTAAAAAAATTCAGGAAGGTATTTTTATTATCATTATTGCTACTATTATCTACTTAATATTTGTTCCCTATGTTGATTGTGTTAATTAGACACTTTCCACTATCTATTCAAACGGTGAATAGTATTCATGATAATGATAATACACAAAAAAACATTTTTATTATATGAAGTGTTCGTTAATAAAATTTTAATCTATTTTATGATCTTATGTTCTATAAAAAAAAATTAGACAATTATTGTTAGAAATTAAAAAAAAATTATTACCAACTGTTAGAATTTAATACCCAACTCTCATTGTTTGTATATAGTTCACACAAACATTGCTAGCACACTCATCGTTTCCGTCTCAGAAGCGGTCGGATGTGAATGCGGTGTAATATAATAAAATCGATTATCATGATTTTAAATATTATTCAATTAAGGTTCAAAATGCACCGATACAAAACTTTTTACAACACAATCCAATATAAATGGATTTTAGTGAATTTTAATAATTTTCAATGAATTTTTAAAGACCTTTTAAAATAAAATACTGGCTTATTTATGAATTCTAAAACCTGTGACTATGTGAGGCTGTGATCATTTAAAAAGGCTTACTAATTATAATTTTTTATGAAATTAATAAACAGGCTCTATGTTGGGTTTTATGGCCTCAAGCCCAAGCATCAGTCTACTGTACTAAAAATGAGCACACCATTTTCGCCATTTGGGTTTATGGCCTCAAGCCCATGCTTTGTCTCTCATTGTTAACCAAAATGGAAGACGGGTAAATCAGTACACTTTTTCTATTGGGGTCTTAAATCATGAAATGATTGTTATCTCAAAAAATAATATTTTGGATGAAATACATTATTGGAGTAGAAATTATAAAAATATAGCATTTTGACACTAACTCTTTTCAAAATATAGTCTTAGCATGAAAATATAACATTTTGTATTAAAGATGCTCTAAATTAGTACACGTGATGGTCACTTTTTCCAATAAGGGCCTTGTGCCTCATTAGTATCTCATCTATCTTTTAAAATGGATAGTGAAAATTCGAGTTTCAATATAATTTTTTTATTTTTTATTACGAAAATCATATCAATTCATAATTTCAGAGCAATTGTTCGTGATTTTCTTTTTCCTTTTTGTCCCGGATTCACACCCTACTCAAGACCTATATAGTTTTATTTCTTAGGTTTTAATCAAATGCTCAATATATAGAAATCAAGAACACTCTACTAATTAAAGAGGATAATTTGACGGCAGTATTGATTGAAGATTAAATCATTAGAATACATTTGAACAATTTCTTTATAAACAAATATATTTAAGTCTTTCTTTTCATTATGAAAATTTATATATGAACTGTCAGGATTAAGTACCATCAAGTAAAGTTAGAAAATCACAATCCAAATGTATAAATCTATACTTTGATATAGACTACAAAATTAAAAAATGCAACCCAATCCATTAAATATCAATAATAACATTGTAATCAAATTTTAAAAAACGTATCGCATAGAACCACAAAATTAATTTTTATTATTTATATTTAAAAAATTCAACAATCTCGCACTTGTTCTGTCATCTATGTACTGCAAGTTTATAAAAAGGACATATGGATTGCAATATACTTCAAAAAAGTTGAGTGACAATTTATTTTATTTAAGAAACATAAAATTATCAAAATAAATGAATTAATAGTTTAAAACACTCTCCTCTGTAGACTTTCTCAATAGTAAATCATGGTCATAGACAACTGTTGATGATGGATTCTGCGCAACCCGGATCTGATCTAACTTCCTGGACAGAGAGAAGAAAAGGTGATCCTACAAGCACCGGTGTGTTACCGGTGGAGTAGGCTCCGACGAATAAGTCAGTGTGCGAACTAATTTCTTAAGAGAAATCAAGAACTTGAGTTAGGGTTTTTTGCGTACCTCCAAACGTTGATTACCCCGCCTTTTTTATAGGGCTTAGGTTAAGATGTCACGTAGAATTACCTTATTATAATCTATAGACTTAATCCTCATCGTAATCTTTAATCCTTATCACAATCTTTAATCCTTATCGTAATCTGTAAAGCCTATCTCAATCTGTAATCCTTATCGTAATCTGCAGAGCCTATCTTAATAGTGCGTTAATTTAGCAATCTTCCCTTAATTATGGATATTTAAATTATACATCCATCAGTTACCCCCCGTTTCAGAGGATTGCTTGTTAAACCACCGGAACGTTAATTCCAAAATATCACACAATAATATATAGTTAGAATTGCAGAGCCTTGTCCATTAGCCTGACTTATATTGTCATTTCGCGAATACAGTCGGGGGTCATAGTATCACATTGGCAGCTCGTATATGTGGCAAGCTCGTATATTTGTCGTATATTGGCAAGCTTGTATATTTGTCGTAGTGCCACATTGGCAGCTCGTATATGTGGCAAGCTGCCATGCTGGTAGTTTACCGTTATATGGCAAGCTGCCATGCCATGCTGCCGTGGCAAGCTGTCCTGCTGGCATGCTGCCGTTATTTGGCAGGTTGCCCTGCTGGCATGTTGCCTTTATTTGGCAAGCTGTTATGCTAGCATGCTGCCGTTATTTGGCAAGCTGCCCTGCCAGCATGCTGTCGTTATTTGGCAAGCTGCCCTGCTGACATGCTGCCTTTATTTGGCAAGCTGTCATGCTGGCATGCTGTCGTTATTTGGCAAGCTGCCCTGCTGGCATGCTGCCTTTATTTGGCAGGCATGCTGCTTTTATTTGGCAAGCTGCCCTGCTGGCATGCTGCCTTTATTTGGCAAGCTGTTATGCTAGCATGCTGTCGTTATTTGGCAAACTGTCCTGCCAGGATGCTGCCGTTATTTGGCAAGCTGCCCTGCTGACATGCTGCCTTTATTTGGCAAGCTGTTATGCTGGCATGCTGCCTTTATTTGGCAAGCTGCCCTGTTGGCATGCTCCCATTATTTGGCAAGCTGCCCTGTTGGCATGTTACCGTTATTTTATACTTGATTTTATTGACATCTTTAGTCGGCTCAGCCCTTTAATAAGGAAAGTAGATTAAGACGAGTTTCACGTAGCTCGTAATAAGGTAAGTAGATGAATACGAGCTTCACTCAGCTCACCCTTTAACAGGGGAAGTAGATTACTATGAGCTTCACCCAGCTCACCTTTTAACGAGGGAAGTAGATTACTATGAGTTTCACTCATCGGGGAAGTAGATTACTATGAGTTTCACCCAGCTCACTTTTTAACGAGGGAAGTAGATTACTATGAGCTTCACTCATCTCACCCTTTAACAAGGGAAGTAGATTAATACGAGCTTCACCCAGGTCACCCTTTAACAGGGGAAGTAGATTACTATGAGCTTCACTTAGCTCACTCTTTAACAAGGGAAGTAGTTAACCCCTCATCGTTTTACGAGGGAAGTAGATTACTATGAGCTTCACTCATCTCACTCTTTAACAAGGGAAGTAGATTAATACGAGCTTCACCCAGGTCACCCTTTAATAGGGGGAGTAGATTACTATGAGCTTCACTCAGCTCACCCTTTAACAAGGGAAGTAGTTAACCCCTCATCTTTTTACGAGGGAAGTAGATTACTATGAGCTTCACTCATCTCACCCTTTAACAAGGGAAGTAGATTAATACGAGTTTCACCTAGGTCACCCTTTAACAGGGGAAGTAGATTAATATGAGCTTCACTCAGCTCACCCTTTAACAAGGGAAGTAGTTAACCCCTCATCTTTTTACGAGGGAAGAAGATGAAGCTGACCCTTCATTCTTTTAAGGGGGAAAGAGGTGTGGTCTTGACATGGGAGTCATCTTCTCTGATGGTTGTCTTGGGATGTTGGCAAATCGTTGACACTTGTCGCACTTTTTAATGAAGTCAAGTGCATCTTTCTGCATGGTGGGCCAATAGTATCCTAGTCGGATGGCCTTGTTAGCAAGTGACCTACCCCCAGCATGGTTTCCACAAACTCCTAGGTGGATCTCCCTTAAAATGTAGTTAGCTTCCTCGCTAGAAACGCATCGTAAATACAACATGAAAAAGCTTCTCTTGTAGAGCACCCCTTTGATAAGCGTATACCTAGCTGCCCGCATCTTGACCTTTCGAGCTTCTGCTCGGTCTGTTGGTAGCACCCCATCCTTGATATATCTGATGATAGGATCTGCCCATTCCACACTCAATATCGCTTGTTGCACTTCAATTTGTCTCTCCTGAGATATAGATGGTTCTTCCAAATATTCCAGTGGTATATTCTTATTGATCTCAGGTTCAATACAGTAGCTAGTCGGGCTAAAGTGTCTGCTTTCCCATTTTCTTCTCATGGTATTTGATGAATTGAGAATCTTTGGAAGTGATTCTTTAATTCCTTCACCTTTTGTAGGTAACTCTTCATCTTCTCGTCTCGTGCCTCATATTCCGCTTAAACTTGTCCAGCGACCAGCTCAGAGTTGGTGTACATATTTAATTGCTCAACCCCTAGGGCATTTGCCACTTTTAATCCTGCTATCAAGGCTTCGTACTCTGCTTTATTGTTGGTTGCTTTGAAACCAAACCGAAGTGCGTACTGTATACTTTCTCCCTCTGGGGAGACAAGAACAAGCCCGGCTCCGCTAACTTGAACATTAGATGACCCATCCACGAACAAGTCCCAGATTACTTCTGGGCCCATCTGCTCACTTAAACCTGGTTCTGTCAAAAATTAGGGTTGTTTCTCCTCTTCTGGAGGGGTAAACTCAGCTAAGAAATTAGCCAACACCTGAGCCTTTACTGCTGTTCTTGGCTTATACTGAATGTCGAACTTTTCTAACTCTACTGACCACTTCATCAGTCGACCAGAGCTTTCTGGCTTGTGTAGGACCTGTCGAAGGGGTTGATCTGTTAGGACCACTATCGTATGCGCTTGAAAGTATGGTCTCAGTTTCCTGGCGGACACAATTAAAGTAAAGGCTAACTGTTCCATCCTTGGATATCTTTCCTCAGTACCCCTAAGTGTTCTGCTCACGAAGTATACTGGCCTTTGGACCCCTTCTTCTTCTCGTATCAGAGCTGAACTGACAGCTGTCGTGGAGACTGCAAAGTATATGTATAATTCCTCTCCCGGTATGGTTCGAGACACTAGTGAGGGAGAACTAAGGTATTGCTTTAGTTCTTTGAACGCCTGCTTACACTCTGGGGTCCATTCCAACGCCTTCCTTAGCACACGAAAGAAAGGTAGACACCTGTTAGTTGACCAAGAGATTAGCCTACTCACGGCAGCAATCTTCCCTGTTAGTCATTGTAGATCCTTGGTTGATCTTGGCGATCTCATGTCAATGACTGCTCGGATCTTCTCTGGATTGGCCTCAATTCCTCTTCTGCTTACCATATATCCTAAGAACTTTCCTGAGGAAACCCCAAAGGCACACTTGCTGGGGTTGAGTTTCATCTTATGCCTCCTAAGTACCTCGAAGGTCTCCTGCAGGTCAGTCAAATGGTCTTCAGCTTTTAAGCTTTTCACCAACATGTCATCAACATATACCTCTATGTTTCTACCAATTTGATGCTTAAACATTGCATTCACTAGCCTTTGGTATGTTGCACCAGCGTTCTTGAGCCCAAACGGCATTACTTTGTAACAGTACAAACCTCTATCAGTGATGAAGGCCATTTTTTCTCTATCTGAGGTGTACATAGATATCTGGTTGTATCCAAAATATGCATCCATGAAACTTAATAGTTCGTGTCCAGCCGTTCCCTCAACGAGCATATCGATTCTTGGGAGAGGAAAGCTGTCATTCGGGCAAGCTTTGTTAAGGTCGGTGAAATCCACACATAACCTCCACTTTCCATTTGCCTTCTTCACTAAGACCACATTTTCCAGCCAGTCGGGGTAGTACACCTCGTGAATAAAGTCGACTTTTAAGAGCTTTTTCACCTCTTCTGATATAGCCTGATTCCTTTCTGGAACGAAAGTCCTCCTCTTTTGTCTGACAGGTTTAAAGTCAGGATTTACATTTAAGCGGTGCTCCATGATAGTGGGGTCTATACCCGGCATGTTTTTATGCAAATACGTCTCGATTCTTCCTGAGGAATTGAGTAAGTTCATCTTTGATACCTGGGGGGAGTAAAGACCCTATACTCACTTTTTCCTCAGGTTCACCATCACCAAGGATGACCTCTTCTAGCTCTTCTGTAAGTTCCGCTCTATGAAAGCCTAGTCTATCTTTTCCTTCCAGCTCTTCAATCGTAAATGCCTCTTGTGATTTTGTTTTCTGAGAGAGGCGACATAACATTCGCGAGCTATTGTTTGGTCCCCTCTTAGCTCTCCCATACCATATTCAGTTGGGAAACGCATCAGGAGATGGTAAGTGGACGTGATTGCTTTCATGGCATTCAATGTTGTCCTCTCCAGGATAAAATTATATGATGATGGGCAGTCCACCACTACAAAGTCCACCATTACAGTGACCTGCTTTGGATTGGCTCCTGCAGTAACTGGAAGGGTAACTGCCCCCAGTGGATATACTTTGTCGCCTGAAAATCCCACCAGTGGTGACTTCATGGGTCAGAGCTTCTCTCGGCCAATTTTCAATTTGTCGTACGCCCTAAGAAATAGTATGCCAGCCGAGCTACCATTGTCTATCAGTATTCGTCGAACAGTGAAATTAGCAACGACCATGGAAACTACCAGAGGGTCATCATGGGGCTGGTGAATTCCCTTGTCATCTTCTTCAGAAAAGGTTATGACCGGCTCCTCAACTCGAGGTAATTTTGTTGGAGGACTTGTCATTCCAACTTCATTCACCTCTGAAAAACTCCGAATTCTCCTAGCATGAGCCCTCCGAGCTGAACTCGTCTCACCACCACCAGCGAAGCCACCTGATATAACTTTGATCTCACCCATTGGTTGGTGTTGAGGAGGGGGATCATCTCGGCCCTCCCGGGCTGGGTTGGAGCCTCCTTTTCCATTTCTAGTTGTGAATTTGCGTAAATGACCTTTACGAACAAGGTTCTCAATCTGGTTTTTGAGGTCGAAACAATCCTTTGTGTTATGTCCATGGTCTCAGTGAAACCTACAGTATTTATCTCGAGACCTCTTTGTTGGATCAGCTTTTAGCTTTGGTGGCCATTTCAATGATGCGTCATCTTGAATCTGCAGAAAGACTTGCTCTACAGATGTATTTAGGGGGGTATAGTTATTATACCTGCCTGGGCTCGCTGGGCGGCGAAACGATCTGTCAGCCTGGTTGTTTGAGAATTTCTTGTACTTCAATTCCCTTTCCTCCCTAGTGCTAGGTGCTGGTCTCTTCTTATCCGACCTCTTATCTTCACCATCTTTGTTTTTTCGTGCATTCATAGCATCGTCAGCCTTCATGTGCTTCCGCGCTCTAACCATCAACTCTGTCATGCTTGTAGGGGCTTCCTTTGATAAGGAAAATAGGAACTTAGAAGTCTGTAGTCCTCCCATAAAGACTGTGAGGGCAACCTTGTCGTCCACCTCTTCAACTTGCAGCATTTCAGTGTTAAAACGATTTATGTAATCACGAAGGGACTCTCCCTTCTGCTGCTTCACATTAAGTAAATGTGTTGCTGGTCTCCTGTGCTTCTGCCCAGCGATGAAGTGTCCTATGAATTGTTTGCTCAACTCTTCAAAGTTTTCAATGGAGCCTGGCTTTAATTTATTGAACCAGAGACGAGCCCAACCTTTGAGTGTGGTAGGGAAAACCCTGCACATAATCTCGTCCGGAACGGCTTGCAAATACATAAGAGCTTTGTAGGTCTCCAAATGGTCGAGAGGATCCCGCGTCCCATCGAAGCTCTCAAGAGTTGGCATCTTGAATTTGCTAGGTAGAGGACAACTCATAACAGCTGGGCTAAAAGCTAGGTTAGTCTTTTGTACCATATCGTTCACTGCAGCCTGGCCCTTCCCTTTCATCGCTTGCATGACATCGTCAACCTTGGCTTTCAGATCCTGCAACTCTAGATCGAACTGAGTGGCGTCCTCAGCCTTGTCTCTAACATAACTAGAAGTATCTCCACGGAGCCTGGTGGTATTCCGTTCAGGGGACCGATGGTGATGGCTCATTTGTTGACCCCCTATTTGACTAAGCTCAACATCGTTGTTAACCCTATGGGAGTCATCGTTGGGTACTTCACTGTTTCTCTCCTCGTTGGGGGTGGCTAAGCGTTGCAGAATCATCCCATTTTGCTGGACTAACTGGTTCACCAGTTGTTCCAACGCTGCGACGCGTTCCTGATTATTTGGGACGACGGGGGGTTGCCCCGTTGAAGTCCCTGCATCAGAAGCCTGCAACCCTTCGCCCTCGCCAGCAGCCAGACCAGATCGCAATAGAACCATGCTTTGTTTAGAGAACAAAAATAAGTTCCCACAGACGGCGCCAACTGTTGAAGATGGATTCTGCGCAACCCGGATCTGATCTGACTTACTGAATAAAGAGAAGAAAAAGTGATCCTACAAACACCGGTGTGTTACCTGTGGAGTAGGTTCCGACGAACAAATCAGTGTGAATGATAATCTCTCTGGAGAAATCGAGATATTGAGTTAGGGTTTTTTGCCTACCTCCAAACGTCGATTAGCCCTCCCTATTTATAGGACTTGGGTCAGGATGTTACGTAGCGTCCACGTCGTCCTTAATCCTTATCATAATCTGTTGGCCTAATCCTTATCGTATTCTGCAATTCTTATCGTAATATGTAACCCTTATCTTAGTCGTAGTCTTTATCTTAGTCTGTAGAGCCTATCTCAATCTTATGAGATAGCGCGTTACTTTAACGATCTTCCCCTATCCACGGGTAATTAAATTATAATCATCAGTTGTGGCGCTAGAAGGACAGGGTGAACGGTTCCGCGAAGTGGCAATCTAAGTCAAGTTAATGGATAAGGCTCTATTATTTCATAATCAAACCAACTTATTTTAGAAGTACAGGGTGAACGGTTCTACAATTCCAGCTATTTGTTATTATGTCATATTTGGGAATTAACGTTCCGGTGGTTTGACAAGCAATCCTCCGAAATGGGGGGCAACTGATGATTATAATTTAATTACCCGTGGATAGGGGAAGATCGTTAAAGTAACGCGCTATCTCATAAGATTGAGATAGGCTCTACAGACTAAGATAAGGACTACGACTAAGATAAGGGTTACAGATTACGATAAGAATTGCAGAATACGATAATGATTAGGCCAACAGATTATGATAAGGATTAAGGACGACGTGGACGCTACGTAACATCCTGACCCAAGTCCTATAAATAGGGAGGGCTAATCGACGTTTGGAGGTAGGCAAAAAACCCTAACTCAATATCTCGATTTCTCCAGAGAGATTATCATTCACACTGACTTGTTCGTCGGAGCCTACTCCACTGGTAACACACCGGTGTCTGTAGGATCACTTTTTCTTCTCTTTATTCAGAAAGTCAGATCAGATCCGGGTTGCGCAGAATCCATCTTCAACAGCAACTAAAATATTAGTGGTCTTAAAACCGATCCCATTTAAAATTTTGGCAAATATAATATAATTTTTAAAGCATTTTATGAGATGTACAAACTGTAAGTCAAAATAGTCTCAACACATTATCAGACCATTATACCTGTTGAAAAAATTATATTAATTCAAAGTCCCATATAATTATAAATCGACAACCTTACTTATCATTTTGACTTGGTAAGCAAGATACATAATCATACCATTAGGTTTAAACAATTTATCCCTCTTTTAGGATAACTTGGAGTACTACTGTTATTATGTACCTTACTGTAGTTTAGCACATTACTTAGTAATTCAAATGATTATCACAAGTTATGAGAATTGGACCCTATAAGCTATATGCTTCACCGAAATGCTCATGTGTAGACGATTATGGAGAAATTAAAAGATGGTTCAATATTATTTGATCGCAATTAATCACAAACTATTATGTAAACAAAAATTAAATAAAACAACACATATTTAATTACGAAACAACTTGTAATTGATCTATACCATATAATCCGAACAATCTAATAATTTCCATCCTTGACCATAATTCAGCGCTCGCCAAGGTTCTTGATCTCAGAGAACACATCAGTTATAAAACTCGTCCCAGTAGTCATCACCCCACTACTTGACATGTGTCCATCATCATCACCAACTAGCCCAATCTGACGGCTGAGATCTCTTTCCTTAAATCCTACGCCAGCTCCATCAATTTTGATTCCCTCATCTTCACTCACTTGTAGCTGCAACGCAAACTCCAGGGTCCACACTACTTCATTCATTGATGGCCGTTTGATTCCCTCATCATCCAAACATCTCACCCTATCTCTGTGAATTTCTTCAAACACTCTGGCTCAATTTTCCCGATCAGATGCAGATCAATGATCTGATCAAGATTACCGTTTTGATAACATTTGCGGGCCCACATCGCTAAGCTCACTTGATCTATTTCCAGCGCCCTATTCAGTGGCGGCCTTGTAAACAATACCTCAAACAAACCACGCCGAAAGAGTACACGTCAGATTTCTCTGTCAATTACTGACGTTTATAATATTCTGGATCCAAATACCCGAAGTTGCCCTTCACTATGGTGCTAATGTGGGCATTGGAGACGTCACTGGGGTTTATTTTGGATAATCCAAAATCCGAAACCTTGGCGACCCATTTATCATCCAACAAAATATTGGTGGTCTTCACGTCGCGGTGAATGACCCTGTGCTTCGCACTTGCATGGAGGTAATGCAACCCACGCACGGCGCTGAGGTAGATTTGGAGCCGTTGTTTCCACAGGAGCTGAGGATTGTGAGTGCCGTAGAGATGATCACTGAGAGTTACATGAGACATGTAATCATAAACACGGATCATCTCACGTTTCTTGTTGCAATAGACAATCAGAGACACGAGGTGGAGACGTGAGCCCCTTGTTGGGACCCTTGTTGTAACCGTTTGATCACAACCTGGGTGGCCCCTGTGGCGGTTCCGCTATTCACCATTTTCATTCTTTTTCGGAATTTCATTGATGCAAGTGTATTTTGGTCTTTTCATGTTTTGTGTTCGGGATTGTGGTTGGGTCCAATTGCATTTTGTGCATTTTAATTTGCATGAACTATATGGTATTTGAATAAGGTGCATTTACATGTTGTGTGATGTAAAATGGAAGAATAAAGAAAAAGAGAAAAGAAATTCAAAATTTGTGGGACCCACCACTAAGCCTTAAGTGGTCTAGAGACCACCCATTTTTCCTCACAAGCTTTCTCTCTCCCATAACTCCTTCCTCTCTCAATTCTCTCTTTATTTATTTATTTATTTATTTCTTTTCTTTTCTTTGGAAACAAATCTTTGAAGCAAGATTCCTCTCTCATTTCTTGGTGGATTAAGGTGCCGTTTGAGGCAAAATGAAGCCCGCGACGAGCTCTACGCGCTCATACAAGCAATTTTAATTTTTGGTCTTCTTAGGGACTTCGAATTTAGAGACCCATTTTGAGAGTTTTCGTAAATTAAGAGGTAAGGGTTTCTAATCCTTGAAATTTTTGTTCCCTAGTGAATTATCCTCTGTTAATTGTAGTTTAACATGCTTATTGGTGTTGATTACTTCTAAAATGATTTGATTGTTGTATATGGAGTACATGATTATGTGTATAAGTGGCTTTTGTGTAAAAAAACATGCTTAAATGCCAATTTTACATGCTTGTGTGCTTGATAACTTGTCAAAAACTTATTATGTGGAATACATGTCTATATGTTGATTTCTTATGCCCATGATGTTAGTAATTTACTAGAAATTTTGCTAAAGGGAAGCATGCTAAATTGTATAGTATATGAATCTCCAATTTATCATGGCATTGAGTAGTATGTATTGTTCATGCATATCATTGGGTATGAAAACAGGGAAAAAGGTTTGAAAATAAGAAAGGAGATTTCGGGAAATAAGCTTTGGATAAAAAGAGTTTTGAGAAAACTCGGTCGCCGCGGAGTCACCAAAGGGTCGGTAGGTTAATGTAACTTAGAGGGAACTAGGGAGATTGCCCTAGCGTGGTTGAGCTATCTGGGCCCTATAATGACGCTGCGGAGTTACCAACGGTCAGGGACAGTAGTCAATCCTTCTCTCGGCACTGAGGGGGTACCAAAGGGGGTTACATTAACAGTTTGAAAAAGTGACAGATGGATGGTTTTGAAAATGGGGAGCGACATTGGCATGCATTGCATTTTATTGCACTATGTTGCTAATGCTGAATTTGGATATGATGTTGTATTTTACCGACAGAGTATGACCCTGGCTCCTATTGTTCTATTCTTTATTTGGGTTCATGGGGATACAAGAGGCGAGTCTTAAGCACCACCTACTGAGCAATTTTGCTCACCCCATTTATTTAACATTTTTTTATAGGAAACGGGAAAGAAGTGGCGGATGACATTCTACCACAGACTTAGTATGGATTAGGAACTTATTTTGTTATTTTTTGTAATTAGGTCACTCTATTTTTGTAAGACTAAGCATAATGTATTTTGTACGATGACTTATGGACTTTGACTATTATAATTATACCAATGGGCTTGTAAAGCATAGACATTTGATCTTAATTTTGTATTTTGGGACTGTAATTATGATACTTGGATGATATACTATGTGGTTGTACCACCATGGAATGTATTAAATGTTTATTGTGTTGGGACAGGTTAAAAAAAAAAATTGCTTTTAAACAGGTTGTTGTAGGACGATTTTTAGCAGAGGTCATGCCAAAATTTTTTTAAAAATTTGGCATCAGTTAGGGTTGTTACAAAAATGGTATCAGAGCGATGGTTCGAAAACCTTAGGACGACGGGTAGAGGCCTATGTAGGATTGCCTGGGAAGTTATTTGCATTGCGTGTGAGATTATTTGTTACGTGTTTAGATATTTGAAGAAGCATGCTAAATCATTTACTTGCCTACATGTTAAAGTGTTTAAATGTTTGAGCAGCATGCTTACTTGTTTACTTGCTTACCTGTTTAATTGCCTACGTGTAAATTTGCTTACGTGATCACATGCTTATATGTTATATGTGTGTATCACTAAATTAAGTGATCCACGGGTAGGTGTTATGTTTTTAGTGTGTAATTGTTTAGCAAGCACGTTCTTATGTTGTATTAGCTTTGCGAGTTATCCTTTACGACGAAAAGGTGTCAGCATTGTGAGCAAGGGTGACGAGAATAACACGATCTTTTGAATTTGGTTTTATCTGAACGCATCGTTCCATTGGGGGTCTTCTTCCTAGAGACTAGTAGCGGTGAGAGGGTTTTATCTTAGGTGTCTTCTGGGACGGAAGTCCTCATTTTCTTGCACGGGCAAGGGTTTGTGTTATGTTTCCTCGGTGTAGCGAAT